TTTCTATTAAACCTTTAGTTTCCCCTTTACTATTTAGATATAATTTCTGAATGAAAGAATGCAATTTCCATTACATGTTTTATTTTTTTCATTTTAATATTGCTATGTACTCCAAACTGCAATGTGTATAATGAACTAAGAAACACTTACAAGGTTTTAAAGTTTGTATGTGTTAGACCGCAGGTATCCAATAGTCTAGTAACTCATCAGAATACATTACATCTACTTTTTACAGAACTATTAGTAAGTACAGGTTCACTCTTCTAGGGTTTTATGTAGCTAAAGGTCTTTTTTCTTGCTCACATAGTATTTTTATTGCACACACTATCCTATTTAGATGCAATAGATGTAATTAAACATATAAATAGATGCCCTGTTAAGATTTAACCTTCACTCAGTCAAGCTTGTACAGAGTTATTGAGGCAGGATTGATAAATTCATAATTATGTCAAGAATTGAAATATGTAAGTCTGAGAAGGAGGTGAACATTTGCCAATGTAAACAAAGAAAGCTTTTTGTATTTCTTTTCAACCTTTTTTCAATGAGCAACAATGTCATCTCTTCACACCATGATTCTTTTATTAGTTTTATTAGTATTTAAAATTTACAATATAAAGGCAAACCAAAAGCATTAGTTAGGACATACTGAAATTTTATTAGACTTTGTTTTAACTTCTTTGTTTCTGTACTCATCTTTAGATTAATTAAAAATTGTGTGTGCTGACTGGGGGTTAAGTGCAGCTGTAAGGAACTGCAGGTGTCTGTAATTATATACCCAAACAGAAAAGGGATAGGCATTTGTTTGGTGGAGGAAGGGGCTGGTTTACATCTTTATCCTGTGAAGATACAAATAAAGCAACAAGGTGAGGGGGTATTGACCTAGCTATGATTGCTGGGGGCTATGTTTATGTTTTCAGTTATTTTCAGTTTTTCTAGAATGTACAGTATGTGGAAAAAATAGGCCTTCATTCAACCGCCTGAGCCTTGTATGTGCTTTAGCTAAAGGTCACAACAGCAAAGATAGGTTTGAAGTATTACATCAACTGAAGTAGAGGCCCATTCGCACAATAGAGAGAAAAAAAAAATTTGGAGAGAGGTGAAGAGAGAAAGGGAAAAGGTATTTCTTAAAGAAATACCAGCTCCGCTTGAATCTCTTTTTAGTTAGATCACAACTAGAAAGGACCAAGGAAATTCTTTAGAATTAGATACAGAGTGACTACCTAATCATCAATTGGAAGTGCTTAGGACTTACAGCACTCTGGGATGAATTAGTTTGGTTGACATTTTGTCAAAATGACATCTTGCCAAAGCTTCCTACCTGGCTTAAGAGAGGTGCTGTCATCACAAGCTGCTTTCCAGAGATCATTTCTGCAGATTGATGTGGGCAAAGAGCATCCACAGCTCAAGAGTGTCTTTGAATTTCCTGTGATGGGCACTTCTGACACATAATGACATGAGTCACCACTGCGCAGCTCACAGCTATTGAACTAGAACTGGTTCACCAGTCTGTGTTAGGATTTTATCAGCCATTTGAGATTGTGACTAACCTCCAGCCAGTATCATTTCAAGGGAAACAAATTAAAATTTCAATTGAGAAATGAGACGCTTGGAAACTGATGTATTCCAGCGCCTTAGACTACAGACTTATACTGTAAATCGAGTACATAATCATTATTGATATAACCCATGAGTGCTTATACTGTATTTTCTCTTTTTGTGGTCTCACTCCATCCATGCCCTTACTTTATAGTGTGTCACTGTCCTTGAATGCCACCTCCACAACCCTCTGGCATTCATTTAGCTATTTCAGTCACATACATCAGTTATCACATTCACAGCCAGTACAGGTGCAGCTACAAGCTCCAATGCACAAGGCCATAGGCCAGAACAATATGATAAATGTAAACATGCTTTGCCATGCGTAAACTGTCAATAAATTGCTCATGTGCATTCTAATAACGGATTCCTGCTTTTTAATGCATATACTGCTCTGTAATTTGCCCTCCTATATCTTGTAGTTGAAAGAAAAAACTGGCGAGGACAGTGTATGCCAGCTATTCAGTCCAGAGGCTGGTGACTTAAAGAGCTGTTTAAAGAGGTGTGAATATGCTACTGTCTGTCCACGATTGTCAGTAGAAAGTATTAATACGGTGTCTTTTCAACAAAGCAGCACAACAGGTGCTGTCATTCCACTGTCACTGCATTAGAGTCTTTGATGGAAATTCACAGGCTTAAAAATGGAAATGTTTAAATTATATGACATGACATCTGTGCTGGTAGACATTTCATACTTTGACTTGTACTTGTGATACATTTTGGCACATTTATGTCAATGCTCTGAGAGCTAATTTATTTGAATGATAAGTTATTCAAGCCCATTCTCTATAAAAAGAGGGGGAAGGGTGTGGAGGTGGTAACATGCTGGAGCATTTTTAACATAATTCACTTTTTAACATGGGGGTTGACTGTATTTCTCAGTGAAGATACATTCGTCAGCTGATCATACAGATGCATGTTGTCAGATTTTCTGTTTCTCAATATTAATCATAGTGTTCATTTATTTAATGAAAGCAAACTGCTGGAAAACTGTACACAAGACATTCTGCAGAGCCTCTCATTTAAAGTTTAGGGTCTCAGTTTTATCATTCAAAGGACTACAATTATAACAAACCAAGAAGCTTCAAAAAGGAGATTGTGGCATCTTAGGTTCTAGACATTGATGTGCATTCTGACATTCGTGTTTCGAGCAAATTAATTATGGGAGGAAAAACGCTGGAGTCACGGTAGCTTCTGAAAACATTCTCAGAGCTTAAGAAAGCCAGCTGACAAAGCAGGTTCATATGGTGAAGCTCTTCTTGCAAAGTCTATGCAAAAGAGTTACTGGTAACACCGTCCCTTTTTCTCCTTTTCTTTAACATCTTTTTCAGCAGAAAAATGTTTTTAGAAGGTTTTTTTTTTTTTGCTGGAACTTGGAAAAAACTCATCAAATACATCAAATATTTGGGTATAAAATAAGTAAGGAAACAATTTTTTAGGAGAAGCTGGTAACATAACCACTTTGAAATATGAATATTGTTTAATAAAATTATTCCTGTATTTTCCTTTGTTTGGTATCTTGGGACCTACAGTATAACCTTTTTCTTAAATAAAATATTTTTAATCATGCATGTCTGATATTTTTGGTGAGCATTTTTGTATTATCGACACAAAAGAGGTCACAGCGAGGCAGGTATGTTTACTCTGAATTAGGAATAAAGAGTGTTTTCTTGGAAACAAGCCAAGTAAAGCAGATCTTTTCAAGCTAGGTGAGAGTTTCAGGTTGAATGGAGTAATCAGTACCAGAGAATGACTAAATCTTTAATAACTGTGCTCCAAAACAAATAGGTTGCATTTTTTACATGTAAGGCCTAATGAGCACAATCATATTCACAGGTGAACCTGATTTTGTTTTGAAGAAATATTTTAAATTCATTAACAGAATTGCTGAAGCCAAACAGCTGTAGTCTTCTTTCAAAGACATATTCGAAAGAAACGTTCCTTTTAAAACCTGGTTGTTTTTTTATTGATTTCCTTCTTTCCATCTCCAGATGAGTGTACCAAAGCTAAATGGTGAAAATAGCAAATGAAAGGCAAAACAGGTAGATTACTAGTTAATAAATATGCGAGGAAAAAAAACAACAAGAACTGATTCCTTATTACATGGAACAGCACACCTTATCAGTGGCAATTCTGTGGTTTGTCCCCTTGGGCTTAAAATGATTCTGTAAATAAGATTAAAAAACAAACATAAAACAATCTTGAAAAGATCTTCAATCTTTAAAAGATAGCACTGAAATGTAATTTCAGTCTTGAGCTGCAAGATGTGTTTTCTGGATTAATCATTTTTATGCTGTTTTCTCTTTAAAAAGAGCTCTGTTTTAGGTGAAATGATTGATTCTGAAATAGTGTATTCTTTAAAAGAATAAAAGGCCTCTAAAAGTGCATTTTAATTTTGCCGTATTATTCCATTGACAAAATAAACTCTAACAGACAATTATCTTGATAGTGATGGTTACAAATCCACTTGTATATAGTATGCATCTTTGTCTATTTCCTTTGCTGAAACACAAGTGCAGTTAATTGAGATTACTTTTTCAGAATTGTTTATCCGCACTAATTTTATGCTTGACTTCTTTGTGATCTTATATCTTTTCTTCAGAATATGCTCCATCAGAAAGACTCTTCGAGTCTATTCTTGGCAGCCTCCTGCTGTTGCTCTATTTGAAAATGTTATCAGTCTGTAAATGCCACTGCTGACTCTCCTTATAACTTCACTTAGAGTTATAGAATGCTGTCAATCAGAGCATGTACTTAGGTTCCAGGTACTCAGGCTTTCAGCTTGTCAATATATTCATCAAAAAAGCTTTAAAAAGGTTCTCTCTGTGTGTGTTTGTGACTTGGATCCTTGGACCAGATTCATCATGGGTATTATTCTTAAGATTAAGATTATCATGTTTATTTGTTCTTGTTTTCTAATATGAAAATTATTTATTTAAATCCAGAATCCAGTTGAAATTACCTGTATTTTAGAAACCTATCTACTTTCCTATCCTATAAGTTTAATATTGAGCCTGCTAAGTCTGGTAGCCAGCTACATTTTCTGACAATCTTAGAAGGCAGCTTTTCATCATAGTCTGGTTCGTTTGCTTGTCCCCTGGCTTAAAACAGTTAAGATTCAAGTCTTGAAGTGACTGTTTGTTCAATAAAAAATCTCATATTTAATTAAAACCAGAAAGCCAACACCTAATTCCCAGTGGAGTTCCTTTGAAATTTGCATCGCAAGTCCTAACTTCCAGCCAGTGAGCAAATTCTCTTTACTGACTTGCTAAAACAAGTTTCAGTGTCACTTTAATCGAGGTTTTCCTTTCATTTTTTCCATTCTTATTTGTCTGAACACGCTCCCAGCTCCAATCTGAAACAAAATACCTGAAGGCTAACTTTTCTAATGTTTGTGTTGTCAGTGTGCAGTCAGACGACAGCTGTGAGATACTTTTAGGCCCTGAAGTGACCTATGGGCCACCAGGCCTTTCCTTTTCCTGCCCAGTTGCCATGACGATAGCCCACTGTGCAGAGGTGAATATGGAACACTGGAACATTCGTCTCAAGAGGCAGACGCAAGATGATAAGTGGGAGGTAAGAAACTAAACTTTGTCTTCTTTCATTCTACAGCCTCTGCCAACTTTTGTGTGCTTCTCATTATAAGCAGACGTGTACATTAGAATATCCCTTGGCTTTTGGAACTTATGTTTTGCTGTTTTTTCCTTGTATGCTATGCTGTTGTATACTAACAATGTCATTATTATTTGTCTGACACTTTTATTCAAAGCAATTTGCAAGTACTGTAATCCTTCATTATATGAGATTACTTCCTTTCTCAAAAAACAGCTTGGGAAAACTCATATAATGAAAATTAGATTTCTATTACTTGTGTTACCTCCATTATACCTGTGTTATAATCTCCAGTTGGTTCTAGAACTAAAAAATGTTCCCTAAAACACTCACACTTCACCTTAATACAGCACCAAACAGTACCAAAGTAGGAAAACAATGACATTCCTGGTTAATTATTCAAATAACTTGCTTAAAGTCATTAGCTGATGCATTAACAGTCGGTAGGAAAACAATTAACACTCCTGCTAATTTACGGTACAGTAGTTACATCATTTCAGTTTTAACATATGCAAAAACATTAGGTCTTGTCATCTACTGTATGCACTTATTACACGCAAGCCTTTATTCTAAAAAAATTCTAAAATTCAAATGCAATAGAATAAAAAGTAAATTCCTCATTCAAGGAGATACACGAAAAGAAGAATATTGGCAGTGTTTTATGAAAGCCCAGTTTCTAAGAGTGAAAATCTGATTGTTAAATGAAAAACAGGTAGGAAATACTACATCTCATATGAACAAAACCTCTTAGGAAAAGGATTACTATACAACCATATACGCAGCTGTGAGTTTACAATGTTCTGGGTGCTGCCAAAGAATGAAGAAGGTAATAATCCAAAGTGCTTTGTTAACCACATAACATTTCAGACATTTACAGACCCGGGCTTTTTGAGGGCTTAGAAAATCCATCTAAAAACTGAAACCATAGGATGGACAGCAGCCATCATTTCTAATTCTTCCTCTCTCAAGGGGGTGATTTCAGGAGATCATATTCTCCATTCTGTAGGAATGCCTGCCAAAAGGCGGAGATGGAATTGAGAAAACTAAATGTATTTCCAAGTAAATATAGTTAAAAAGAGAGAAAGAAGAGATAGTATAAGTGTTATTAGCTGTAGCTGTGAGAAGGGCTACAAGGAGCTCGCTGGGCCAATATCTTGGGGCAGATTGATCCAAAGCAGGTGTGATGTGATGGTTGGGAAGGGGCTCATGTGAGTTTGCAGGGAACACACTGCTTGCGGAAAAACAATTACTCTGTCTAATAGCCCATAGGTCACAAACAGCAAGAGATATGGAGGCGGAACAAGTAAACCCATCATTCAATAGAACTATTGATCCAGATTGTTTGGAGGGACCTGGCAAAATATAGTGCGACACAAGGCAATCAGGGAAGATGTTGTTTTAAATGAATTCTTCCAAACCATGTCCATTTTAGCAGACATTCCAATTAGAGAGCTTTCCAATGCAGGACAATTAGAAACCTATAAGCTAAAGTAACATTGTGTTCAGTGATTGATTGATCTTACCTTTGGAAGGACGAGTTAATGTTTGTCTGAAAGGTCTAAAATGAAAGAAAGGTCATTGTCCCAATGAATTCCCACTGGGAGGTTTTTTTTTTGCAACAACCCAGACATCTCCTTAAGTTTTTATTGTCTAAATATCAAAGACATGGTATTGAATAAAAATTCAGGTATATTCATACCTGAATGATACAGTACTTTATACAATGCCTGTCCTTTCCATCTATGAAATGCTTGTTTGTACTGACAGGTTTATAAAATTATCTGATTTGGTTTGATTGATTTTACTGCAACATTTTAAATTTTTGTGGATGTTGTCTTTTTGAATCTTGTGCTAAAATAGAGGTCCTGGTTGAAACAGTAAGGTGACAGAGGTTGGTCAATAACTTTTTATCATCTTTTTCATATGAGCAAGTCTGCAAGGTTGGGTTCTACAAAAGCTGGAATGGATCAGGCTTGTGTTAGAATTGTTACTGATATCTGCATGGAGGATGCCAGAAGCCACATTATCAAATGTGTTTTGAAAATTGCCACTGATTGAAGTGGTTATTTTCTCTGCTGCTAATCATCCATCTGCCTGATCCTTTATGATCCTAACCATGTAAAAAGAAAGAACATATAACACATTTGACCTGTATCTCTTTCCGAGGATTATGAAAATGTGCTTATGGCACAAATTAGAACTATTGTGCAGATGGAAAATGAAGATATTAGAGACTGTGTTTCCTCATATCAAGCATTGTCTAAAAACAGGTGGAAAGCAATAATTAATGAGGAGAGGTAATATGAAGAGGAATACTAATTTTTCATATCAGATGTGGAGAGTTGGTGACATTAGAGCCACAGCTGAAGAAGGATCATGAGATTCAACAAATGTATGAACAGAGTGAAGTTTAACTTGTCAAAAGCAAGTTTTTGGAACAAGATCAAAAGGCGCTAGGGCTGCCTTTTAATAATAAACTTTTAATAGAAGGGGCTCCCAGGTGGCTCAATATGTAGCGGCACTCACCCCAGAACAGGATGAGCTGCATGGTCATGGGTTCGAGCTACATGTACCCATGTACATGTGGGATTCCTCAAGCACTGGCACACAACTGTCTGAGAACCACTGAAGGTAGGAATGGAACAGTTGACCAGGAATTGCTTAGATCTCAGTGAGACAGTGGCCTCTGCAGCCTGCTAGGCTCTTGCAGGCAAGCAATTCTATCCTCCTGAACCTCCAGGTAAGAGGGCTGCATAGCCTGGGACATGTGAAAAGATGAATAACTCAAAGGTGAGTGCGGCAGAGGAAACTGCAAATACTCCCTTGGTCTGTCCTGTGCATGGTCCAGGGGGTTCAAAGACACCTTGCAGAGATGTGAAAAATATGTAATTGGCTGTTGGAAAACTAAAATAATTTTGCCATTCAGTTTTTTTTCAATAATATTTTAATTAGTCATAAATTAAGTGTTTATGACCATGTGCTGGAGATGCAATCATTTGCCAGGACATTGTCCAAATTAGAAGAGTTGGCACTATACAGTATATTTCACATCAACAAACGTCATCTCCCTTCTAACAATGAACCTCACCAGAATACTTTTTATTATATATATATATGTTTTAATCTTTCATATTTAATATCTTTAAAATAAGACTAGGATACCACCTGGACATTACAGAACCATTGTAGTTGGTGTTTGTTTCATATTTAAATGTCCTGAGCTACACTACCCCAAGCCGGAATCTTCACATCTGGCTAGTGACAGTGAACTTTATAGACTCTGATCAAACCTCATTATCTATGCATAATATCGGTAAAATTTTTGGCACCCATGAAACAGTGAATTTTTTATTCCTTGAGCATTCAGCAACACATCCAAGCCATTCAAACATTTCTCCATTTTAACTGCCAGTCACAGTGGCTGCATTTTCCCCAAAACAAACAAAACGAGGTAAAAGAAATACCTTCCAATCCCCTGTTAGCACTGTGGAACAAAAAAGAATCCGCAGGAAAACTACAGATATCCAATCCTCTTTTTTCCCCAAGACGTGGTTCTGTGCGAGTGAAAAGGTAAAACAGTAAGAAAAGTCATTCCTTCCAATTCAACAGCCCAAAAAAGGTACACCTTCAGCACCAGACAATCCAACTTATAGTTTAAATGCTTGTGGAAGAAAACACATTCAAACACACGCACTAGCTCAGCTTTTCTTTTTAAAGGTTTCCACAAGAAAACCTTAAGAGAGGAAAAAAATATAACTTTTAACACTGTGATCTTAATTTGTCTATATTAATTGTATTAATCCCTTAATTTAGAATTTAGAAGTGGTATAAGGCAGACCAATACCTCTAAAATTACAATAGTTAATTGCATTTATATAAGGTTTGTCATCCCAAAGGATCCCAAAGTATTTTGCATATAGGAGGGACACATACTGTACTTCATGCATCATTGATCCACAACAGTCATCGTTTGCCTGTAACCCGACTATACACTACGCAAGAAGCTTTTCTGATAAGTCACAATAAGTTCTCAGTGGGTAAATTTCTGCTTTATTATTTTTGACAGTCTTCAGAACGGGTCAAAAAGAAATTCATTCGCCTTTTCCTTCTTATCCTTTCTCTGTTTCATATTCTGAATACCTGCAGCGTAGCAAGGGGCTTTTTAACTCCAGGCTCAGCTACAGTATCATCCTCTTTGGCCTCCATCATTTTAGTTCAACCATTTCAGCTCCAGTTCGGGTCCTGTGGTAGATAATTATATTTGTTAAAGCCTGGAGAGTGATAGCCCATTTATATTAGATGGACTTACGCCAGCTGTGAAGAGGCAATGGAGGTTCTTAGTGTAGATTTTTGTCTGGATCTTGAAATGTTCTTTTCTCCATACATCTGTGAGGTCTCCAGAATATATCAATATATTCAAAAATCTGCTTTCTTCATTTTTAATGGAGAAACTCTGGAGTATTCCGTGTTAATCACCTTTCGGTTTATGACTTCAGTTTACCATTTAAGTTTCTAGATTCATCTGATTTGTTGTGAATATCATTTAGTCGAAGATGGTATTTGGAATGAATTTGCTCATTATGGAGGTGCCATTTTTAAGTACTTTCCTATTGGAATCCAGGTAACATTTAATTTAGTGTCAGAAACATGTGCTTAAATCCATATCACTGTGGTGTTTTTGACATTTGTACCACTAGTTATTTTTGCAGGAAAAAGAAAAAAAGATATTTCAAGCATGAGTCATTTACAAGTGTGACTAAAATGATAGTTGGTTGAGCATCATTCATATGATAAACCTACATTAACTCCTGGAGAAATAATGAGCACTCCAAGACAGGTAATAGATGGGAACATGGGGTGATTTTTTAAACTGACATTTGCGAAAAAAATGGAAGTAACAAATGTGTTGCTTTTTTCTCAGGTTTAGCATTTAAGTGTTTGTGCTTTGTTATTTCATGTAAACTGTGCTGTGGTTGAATAAGTACAGAAGTACAGAATATAAATCTCTCTGTCTGTTCTGCTAATGATTTGCATACTAAATCTGTCATTGCCGTTTTAAATTATGTAACTGAGTTTTGCATATTATTGACTTTCAGCCCTCCATTCATTCCTCCCAGACTTAATCTGAACACTTTTGCAACTGGTTCTGTTGGTACCATGCTATATAATTTGTCCTATGTCTTGCATGCAGAAACATATCTATTAATACAAGAAAACAAATAGGCAAATAGAACATAATTAAAAAGACAAGTAGATACAACAAGAAAAATACATTTTATACATACTAAAATTTAATATTCTAGTATTTCTTTGAATATTGTAACAATAATTTATTTATAATGTAACGCTTACGGCCGACAAGCAGTGTGTGTAAGAGCCGGCGTACCAGAGCGGGTGACGTCACCGCCCTTCCCTGTGATAGCAGGACCACAGCTACTGGGCTGTGGAGAGATCTCTCTTTGGCTCACGGGGCTAGGTCGCTGCAGAGAGACGCGGAAGTCCCGGGTTCGAGCCCCGGACGGTGCAGGGGCCGACCTAATGCGGCAAGGGCGCCCGCCTGAGCCCCCGTTGCGTTACAATAATATGTAATTATAATATACAATAAAAATGCCTAAAATTAACACAATGTGTTTTGGGGAAAAACTGCAATGGAAGTTATAATTTATAATCCATAATTAGCTACATCTCAGCAAATTATAGATATAAGTTGCATGGTGGCCTGAATCAAGCTACCTAGTCATATTGTTGAAGCCGATACCTTGGCTTCTTTCAAGAAACAGCTGGATGAGATTAGCAATAAAAAGACTAGACTTTTTTTCTCTTCTGTATAGATGCCTCTTAGACCCATTGCAAAAGGGAATGAAAAGTGTTTTCTGACTTGTTGTCTGACTTAATGTATACAGTGCAACAAGGTGTTCTATAATCGATATTTACACACCAGTTGCTCCAGTCTGATCAGTAACAAGAGAAAGCTTACTCTCCTTCCTGTATCTGCCAAGGAATAAAATGTCTTCCAAGCACAGAGAAATCCATAACAAGCAAGTCAAAGCATTTTCACAAAACTAGTTAAGTTATGCTTATATTTAGACTCCTAAATACATCTTACATATGCACGACAAACCAGGTATTATTGCTGAATAATGTATTTGCAGTGTGTTTATATTTGATTAATTTGCCTCTTTATTGCATGATGGAGCTACTCATTAGTAGATGTCAATCACTACCAGGTTCAAACCTCTTTATGCATAATGTATTAATATTGAGGCTGTAAATACTTACAGACGTGTCATAAGATGTCATTTGCACACTTTAGTTTCAATGCTCTGTGTCATTCTGCAGGAAGTGATGTCAGTGGAAGACGAGACAACGTCCTGTTACTGCCTCATGGACTCCCATAGCTGCCACCTGTTGCTGGACCAGCCTGGCACGTATGCTCTGGTGGGGGAACCACTCACAGACTCAGCTGTGAAGAGGCTGAAGCTGGCAGCTTTTGGAAGCATGTCTAGCAACTCAATGGACTACAGCCTCCGGGTCTACTGTGTGGATGACACCCCTCATGCCTTCCAAGTAAGAGCAACACATGTAACAGAGATGGGAAAGAGTTGATGGGAGTCCTAAGACTGCACAGACTAGAAACTGTGTTAACACTAAAGTCCAACTACTACTTTTCTAGTTTAAACTGCATTGCCATACTTTCTTATCTAAAATAGCTTGGATGGAATGGACAGGGCTCCTTACACCAGTGTTGCTATTAGTAATAATGGCAGAAACAGAAGGAAAAACATTTCACTTGTGTTGAAAAGGGCTACACTTTTGTTGACCAATGAATAATTAAGCAACTTAATGCAAAGATTTGTAGCGTTTCTGTTTTTTACTCAAGCTCTGATCAAGTCACAGCTTCTTTTTCACTTTTCTTTTTGATGATAAAACACAGATAACTCTTCTGAAGTGCTGACCCATTGATCTAGCACTTTTTTACCTAAGTAAATTCACCTTAATATTTTCACCATGGTTTTGCTGTAGATGTACTGTGATTTTCTATGGTCCCGGCATTCCTTAGAAACAGTCATCATATCACCGTACATAAGAACGTACACTGCTATACTACTATATAACACTGCGAAGGAATTTTAAAAACAGGGGATTCCAAAGCAAACCCGCAGTAGAACCATTGTAATGTGTAAAAATATGGGACATTTACAAAGGAAAAGTTTCATGACAGAATAGTATTATATCTTCTTCTACAAACACATACCACCATTCTGGGAGAAATTGTGACAGCATTGACCGTATGGGTGAATGTGGAATGAAACAGCTGTTTGAATATTCATACAGAGCTTGGCTTGAGGAGGTTAGCTATGCTGGATAAGGGAAATCTAATTTTTTAAATTACAGGAAGCCACTGGAGTTTTCTACCAGCTTCCCAATGAATATGTCTCAGCAGGTGATCTAGATATCCAAACTATTTAATTAAAATAGAAGATGAGAAAGTTTTAATTAAAATATCAATCAATAAAAAATGCACCCCCCCCCCACCAATCAATTAATTTGGTTTATTAAATATTTTCCTTTTTTTCAATATTAAAACAGCACTGCAGCCTCACACCTGTGGGATCTTGGGTTCAGTTTGGAAATTCTGTATGGAGTTTGCCTGGTCCTTCCATTCATATAGGTTTTCTCTGGGTTCTTATAGTTTACTTCCGTCTTACAAAGATATGCTCTGTCTGTGGTTGCCCTTGATGGACTGGAATTCTTGGACAGGCCCTGGTCTGTGCAACACCAGGAATCAATGGTTTTCTAATAATGAATGACTGGATATTAATTAAAAGCATTTTAATATTCCATTAAGAATGACTAATAGAACTCCAAAATTACAGTGCCAACACAAGTTAGGCATCTGCAACTTGAAAGATTGTTGTTGTGTGTTTTTGTGCTGGTTGATGACAATTAACACAAGGTCAAGAAGCTGGCCAGCTTTATTAGAGTATAAAAGTAACAATAATAGACAGCCTGGAACCCTACTGATAGTGTACAGCCTGATTTATACAGCTAGTATCTCAAACAGAGCTAATGTGCAAGACATCTTGTGGCAGCTCTGCCTGCTGCATTGCACAAGATTTACTGGTGTCACAGCCAGGAGTTAAATATAAAATAACAAGGCTTTTTACCTCCAGTCTTTTTAAAAATAGGAACATGTGGTGCTCTTCATAAACAGAGAAAGACAGTGTTACTCTCTTTGTACAGATTCATATCGCTAGAATTTTTTCTGACTGAAGGATAATAAAGACTGAAACCATTGACTCATATTTCAATGTTTCTATCATGAATCTATGTCCTGCTACACTTAATTGTATTGGTATAATACATATTATAAAAGATGTTAATCTAATGCGTGCCTTTTGGTAGATAAGTGTAAGGTATTGAGTAGAAAGCACATGTCCTTTGTCTGTTCTTAGTGCAGGTACAGCAAGAAAGAATCATCCATTATACTATAACAGCTCCACCAGCTTTTCAAGGTCTTCTCTTCTCTTCTGTGGTTGTGTACCATTGGATTAGAATGGCAGTTTCCACATCAGTGATTACTGTCATGTAATATGAGAAAAAAAATGGAGAGAATATATTGACTTACCAGTTTCATTTTGTTTTTTCATGATGATTTGTGTTCTTTCACGTTTTAAAGAGGAAACGTTCCTGTCATGTGGAACCGTCAACTGCTGGACTTGATTCCTTGCCCAGTGTGTATTTATTTCTGTTTTCCTCCATCCCTTTTTTCTTTAACAAATATTGACATGTCAGTAAACCAAGGACCTGGAAATAAAATGCTTCAAAAGCTCCTGAAAGTTCAGAAGAGAAATCTATATGATGAAAGATCTATTCATTTCACCTCGAGAGACAACTAGTACTGTACTGTGTAGACAATAATGGCAGAGAAAAGAATGCACACAATCTGTTTGTAGGCTAAACACTTTGGAAGTAACTGTAACAGACTCAATGCCTATGTCACCATGACATCAATTTGGGTAGGGCAAATAATTTGTACTATTTTTCAAATAAGCTTACCTTTACCCACAAATGTTTACCCAGACTGAAATACTGCAATGAACCAAATTTCAACTACAGCTTTTTACCAGGTCTCCTATTACAGATCTGAGTGCATTACAGGGCTGTGAAAACAGCTTTTTCCCAGAAGGTAATACAAATTAAGAGTACCATGCTGCCTGAACAGCACTGAGTTTGAAGGTCTTTTTTTGCAGTAGTCAGCAGCAGGGGTTCCCTTTAGAACTCTTCAGTTGTCACGAAAAAAAGCCAGGGCTTCATCTAGACCCCCTCCCAAAGTCCCTGTCACTACTGTCCTTTGCTATATTTCCTTTTGGATGTTACTATTCTTGCTTTGTTCCTACTTTGTTTTGAAGTGGATCAGGCCTCACGCTGATTGTATAATGTTGACGGACATTGTGTTTTTTTTTTTCATCACCGCTGCTATCAGCAAAGATTATATCCAGAATCAGCAGTCAAGGTTTCCCTTGCTTTTTATCTGAACTACAGTGGTTTCTCTCTCCCTTTAATGCCTTTCCTTAACCTGATCCCTGCTGAGAAACCCTGAACAAAGTTTTGGGCTGCAAGAAAAAATTCTGACGTGTAATATAGCAATGGTTTTAGCTTGGAAACGCTTGGCTTGATAAAAAAGAGAACTTTCATCAAAGTGACAAGGGTCGTTAATGCCAGCTTTGTATCAAAGAGGGAGCTGGGGTAGCCTTACTAAATGAGCCATGACAAGTGTTAATGTGCAAAGATAGCTCATCTTTTTTCCAACATGTTTTTCCATTTCACAGTCCCCCATGTTGCATCTCTTTGTGTTGCTGCTTCTCATTTGTTAATTTTTTAAATACAAAGGGATCCTGCCAGCTCAGAATGGCTGGGACACTCATCACTCTTCATAGATGGCAGTACTCCAGGGATCGCTAAAGTGACTCTGCTGTGCAACATCTGCCAATTGAAATGTAGATGAAAAAAAGGCTTTTTGCCAATGCAAATGAAGTTGTCCTTATTTGAATGTTGTGTGGCTTCATGCAACAAACCATGTTTGTGCACCAGCCATTATTTAAGCTGTGGCATTGGTTGTTCTCTCCTGTCCTTTAAGTTCCTAGGCTGGTGATAAATGAAATCTTGAATCTTTTAAACCCTTCCCTCAATTTGCCACACTTTAAATGTTTTTTTTATTTGTTGCTTTCCTTTCTTGATCGAGGAAGAAAAGCTCCAGACAGCATCAGTGCTAAATTTCCTCTCTCTTTGCGTCTATCATTACCAATGGGCATTCTCTCTGATTTTGGCTTGTATTTAGGAGGTAGCTGCTGCCGAAAAGAGTCGAGGCGGACAACTAGTGGAAGAGCCCAAGACACTGCTGTTCAAAGCTAACACCTTCAGCCTCCAGGTGTCTATCCAGGACGTCCCACAGTTTTTGTGGAACATCAAGCCCTTCACCACTTGTCAGGTATGGATAGGCAGCTCTTCTATAAAAAACACAGCCCCATGCTTTTAGAGCTCACATAGTAGGTAGTAAACTGCTCTTGTTCACAGGACAAGGGACCTTTTGAAGCTGTCCTGTGTTTCTACTCCATTAACCTTCAGCATGAGAAGGACCATCTGCAAATACTCTCATCCCTTGTTAAGGAAGCACATTACTCATGCGTGCCCACTAAAACAAGCAATACTAATACAGACCTATTTTTGCTAAACAAGTTCACTTCCAAAGCTAATATGAGCTCCAAGTGTGTAGCTCATTCTTCCATTATTATCTTTCTCTCCTCTCTGCTGATGATATAATCTTAACTATCTGAACAGAAACTGTATAGGCATTAGACTTGTTATGGTGTAAAATAACATTTTGAAAGCATAGAGTGTAAAATAATTATATGTATTTATTAATTTGAACATTTAAAGCAATGATTCAATCAGTATCACCAGGCAACTTGATGCTCTAGCTTATTTTTACAGCTACGTTTTGTTTTCTATCTTTGCCCAAGATTTATTAACTAACATAATAAACAATTTTGTTTAGTAAGAGATTTTGATTAGTTCATGTTATATTCATTGTTCATACACTAATTTTATTTTTTCCTCATAACTGCTTCTTAATACATTGAGACATTTGAGTTTGCATAAAACAAGAAGTGTTTTTAAATTCTACTTATTGTAACTTATACTTAGCAATTTATGGTGCCAAACTATTCAAATATATCAGAAAAACACATAAACCCAGCTGGTTTATGTCTAGTTACAAGCACTTGGGGGGAAGAGACGTGTATTTTAATGGGAATTTAGTATCCATTTTAAGAGTTTTTGCCTAAGAACAGAAATTTTGGAACCATTTGTGCTCATACTGTATATCTAAAGATGAGTGTATTCTTATCATTTTGAAGTCTTGCATAAGTATGGTATACATTCACCTTTCTTTTTGTTTTCATTTCCTATTGCTCAGTGTGGTGTCACTTTAGCTAAGTAATCTTTTACCACACTTGGAGATGTGCATGACCAGTGCCACATAATAAAATAAAAAAACCCTGCCTCCTTTAAAATATATCCCAGATAGTGAAATTCTACGGATTCCCCACATTACTTCTGAATATACTTCAGAGTACTACAGGTATATAGTTTGAATAGTAGCCCTTTGCCAAAGGTGATGTCCAAAGGCAGGCTGTAAGAACAGTTTGAGTCTGTTCTATTTTGCTCTTGGTGGTTTTGTCCTGCTGTTAAATCAAGTCTATCTTAAGGCACTGCACTCTGATGCTATACCAGTTGGAAAAATGGCACATTAATTTCCTCCTCCTGGTAATTAGCAGTTCAGCAGGGAATGTGTAATTGCTATGGAAAACAATTTAAGTAGAAAGAAAAGCAGTCACATAATATATGGACCCAAATAAAAAAAATACAAATTGATGGTGACTGTTCTTTTATGTGTCTCTTTTATTTTCACCCATTTCACCCCCAGAAACCATTTCTATCTCCTAGGTTCCCATAAATTTCCTATTCCTATAAATAAATAATTTGTAAACTATTGACAGACAATTCCTGGTTGAAGTTCTTGTTCTGCCCCTGACTTATAATAGTGATATTCTGACATGTTTAAAAAAAACAGGTGCTATTGTAGCTGGCTCTTGCTATGGCAGGTGTTGATATATTCACTTCACAGTTGTTTTAGATAAAAGCATCTAGTATTTGATAAATGAGTTTAATTTCTATCCTTGTCATTTTATAGGAAAAGGAGCTTTGGGTAAAATCCCAAAGGCTAAGTAAGCCAGCAGGCTCAAAAAATCATTAAACAACCTTAATGTTCTCCCCAGGAATTCCCTTTTTCTCAAGTGTGGTGCAGCAACCAGCAACCCCTGCACTGTGCCTTCTCTCTGGAGAGATATAGTCCAGCCACTACCCAGCTGTCCTGCAAGATTAGCGTGCGACAGGTCAAAGGTCATGAGCAGATCCTTCAGGTCTACACATCTGTCGTTGAGGTTAGTCAACTCCTGGGGACTAGGAAAGTCTATCTATTTTCTAGGAAAGCAAAAGAAGGCTACTTGGCCCATCTAGCCCATTTGGTAATTAGTAGTTAATTGATCTAAGGATCTCATCCAGCTGTTTCGTGAAAGAAACAAGGGTATCTGCTTTAACAGCATGGCTGAGCGATATGTTCTGTAATCTCACCTATATTTTAACTATGATTGTAGATGTGCCTGAAGATAAAAAAAAGTGTGTGGATGATCTTTCAGGTCTTTCCCTCCTTGTGTAATTTTCCCTCGTGCCTGTTCTGTTTATTTGTACAGGTGTTTGTACACGTTGGTGAACATGTCAGTGCTATCTCAAGTTGCAGTCCCACCAGTATGTGATGAAGCCAGCAAAAACCCTGCACACATTACTGCCTTGCACACAGCTTAACCTGGGAATCCATTCACTCGCTATTAACCTCTATTCATCTTGTTTCATAGAGTGAAAAGGAAACCGTTCCATTCTTCACACAAGCGGACTGTACTGTGACCTCTCAGACTGGCCCAAAAGCCTTCAAAATCCCCTTCTCCATCCGGCAAAGGATCTGTGCCACTTTTGACACTACTAATGCAAAGGGCAAAGACTGGCAGCTTTTAGCACAGAAGCTTCACATTGAGAGGTAAGAGTGGAAAAACGTGTGAGATTTTCACAAGTACGGCTCCATGAACTCCGAGCCAGCGGTTTTTACATATGTAACTAATTGCTAAATCAAGTCAACTTGCTTTATTCATTCTTTTTTTTGGCCTCTTTGTTGTCAGGCAAGTTCTTTGTCAAGGGCCTCCTACAATTTGCTTACTGTTTGTCAGATTCAGTAAAAAGATATTTGGTCAGCATTTAATGTAATGGCCTGGATGTATTTAGTAAAGAAGGTGCTTGGTTTTTGTTGGGGTTTTTTTGCCGGATGGCATCCTCTCAACAAACAAATGTCTTTGTTCTGTTGATTTCATGTACCGTACCTCCAGTGCTCGCTATTTCACAACTGTAGGTGATTACCCCCTTGAACTGTGATAAACTGAAAAAATGCACACGATCCGCTGTTTATCCATTGATGTTTCTGAACAGGGTTTCAATGTTAAAAAATGGTGGTGCAATACTGCCTCGCAGGACACTAATCCTGGATTCAGTTCCAGACCTCCGAATGTCTGCATGGAGTCTGTATGTTCTCCCTGTGCTTGCATAGGTTTTCTTTGGATCCTGCAGTTTCTGCCCACAGTCCAAAAACATGTTCGCACCTTACATGGCTTCTGGGAAAACTGGCCCTGGTCTGAGTGGGTGTGCCTTTGAATGGACTGGGGTCCCAACCAGGGCGTACTCTGCCTTGCGCCCATTGCTTGCAGGCATAGGCTCTAAATTGGAAGGAGCGTTTAGAAAATGGATGGATAGATATAGTAGACCGGCCGTTCTTATTGTTCAGTTTCAAAGTACTTGCAAGATAGAGGGTTTTTAAAGGGGAATACCATTGAGAAGGGAACTGAACAAAGAGCTTCACACTCGTTAACAAGCTCAGTGGAGAGAGAGAATGTCTGCAGTCCTTCAGGGCTACATTGATAATATGTTCTTGATGGTTTCCAATAACTTGATAGCTTTAATGTGGAACTGAGAGGAGAGGTGAAATGCAAGCCGTAATACCTCGTGGACCTGAATGAGTGGATTTGAGCCCGGCTGTAAAACAGCAGAAGCGTGTGATAACAGAAGCAGGGAGACAGAAGAAAGGGTCATCATAAAATATGAGTCAGTGCCACAGCTGTGAAAGTTGTACCCCCTGGGAGTCCCAGCTCGCCGCCACTGGGCTGTGTTCCCAGAGAAGGCAGAAGGAGGTGATTATGTCTCTGGGAGCCTTGGCTCGTTGTGCCACATGTCCTCTGGAGGCTTTGCCACTGCCAGAAGTGTGGAGCAAGGGAGACCTGTGGTAGTCTGGTGCACGTGGAATCCATTTCAGACTGCCAGCGGTAATTTACTCCTGCGTCCGTCTTCGCTCGGTTATCTTGCATCATATTGTACTTGCGGTATTGCTGATGGTCGCTCTCCATCACAGGTTTATCTGGGGTATCATTTTCAGATACTGTCAGATACGATGTAGATTTAATTATAGATCGAGGGTGGGGGGGTTGCGTTGCGGAAACCAGAAGCGATTTATCTCTCAGCTTCCCAGTGCTGACAAGTGACCAAATACTTTTTTTTTCTTGCTTTGGGTTGTTGGGTTTAAGGGGGATTAAAAATCAGAGGAAAAGCCAGCGGGACGGTAACAGTGCCGCTTGTAGTACAACTATAATCCCTCCTGTTTTTGTAAAACACCTGCAAAACTGTAGATGGGCTGTAAGATGCACAATACATCTCGGAGGATTAATTGCTGTTAGAGACACTCATGAGGGTGTAGGTACAAATGAGCACCCAAGGGAAAAACATATTCCTTTTAAAATTAGCAGGAACAAACCACACCTTTTCAAGTATGAAAAAAAAAATCATGTGTTAATGTTTTGGATATCTGATCTTTCAATGTGTCATGTATATTAAAAGGAAAAATTCCTTTTTTAGCGATAAAAAAACTCCACAATTAATATTTGCTCAATGCGGTAAGAAATTCTATTCTTTCCACATTTAGGGAGGGAAAGACCATAATTTTTAACGTTTTGAATGCAATTCTGGTTGCACTCCAGCAGCAAAATCTGCAGGGAAATATACGTTTTTTATGTAACCAAGTGTAAAAAATTTGAGTGTCTACGGTTTTTATTTCGCCAAATTCAGTTGCAAGGAGGATCAAGAGGAAGCACTGCTGCGGTTGAATAATAAAACTTGTTTTAATGCAAGGTTACATTGCCCTCTGCTGGACACTTACGTGAACTACAACACTTGATTAAATTAGTCAAAGAACTTCACAGAAAATATATTTCTTTTCTACACTGGGAAATCTTTTTAGGAAAATAAACTGAACAATAAAATAAACAGGGTCTCTTTTTTTCAAACATACAGTTACTCAGAAACAGAGCTTGTGAAGGGGGCTATATTAATGTGAGACAGGTCTAGGTAAGTCTATTCTTACTGCTGAGCATAAAAGCAATAGATCACTAGAATGGGCAGGCAGCTCGCTGATCAGTTTCGACAGCACAAAACAAGGACTGTTAGGAATTAAAGCAGAGTTCGTTTTTAGTTCCTTACAGTTCTCTGTACACCGACAATCATGTTACATTTTGCTGTCACCAACAGGTTAACTATATATCACTTTCATTTTGTAGGACTCTTACCTAGCAGTGAGTTATAGGGATTTTTCTGTTCACAATGCCTGACTGATAAAAGGTTGAGTCGACTGCTAGTAAACAAAAACTGTTGAAGAACACCCAGTCTAAATGTTAGACCTTGACTTACAGTACTGTACCATGTTTCAAAACACTCAAAACGCTCAGTTAGCCTTTTTCTGAGCTGCCCTCTTAAATGTACTGCATAGATATGAAGAAATATTGAGGACATTCCAGTTCCTACTGCTGTATCTGCAATAGTTTCTATGAGATGTAAAAATCCATCTGTTTTCTAATCTTCTTGTAATTCAGGGTCGTGGGGCAGCTGGGGTCAATCCAAGCAAGCAGTGGCCACAAAGCAGGGTACAGCCTTGACAGGACGCCAGTCCATTGCAGGGCAAACAGACATGCACAGACACGTACCAGGGCCACTTTTCCCACAAGCCTAACCTAAAAGTATGTCTTTGGGTACTGTGGGAGGAACCCGGAGCACCCGGATGAAGCTCAGGAGATGACAGTCAGCATATACTGTGCAAAGTCCACACAGATAGCACCCCAGACTCAGAATTGAACCGAGGGCATGAGTGCTGTGAGGCAGCAGTGCTAATCACTGCACCACCATGCTGCCCAGATATAAGAATATGCATGGTTTTTGTCACTATCTGAATTCTGTTCCTTTTTTCCCCCATCCTGTTAGGAACCTGTCCTACTTTGCCAAGCAGAAGAGTCCATCAGCAGTAATCCTAAACTTGTGGGAAGCCCGGCACCAGGATAATGGAGACCTGGACTCACTGGCAAGTGCCCTGGAAGAAATCAGCAAAATCCACTCGAAAAGCCCTGTGAACACTGAGGGCCAAGTGGAAAACACAGAGTTCAGCTACGCGGGCTAGAGCTCGGGGGAGTGGTGGGTGTGAGCCGGGGAAGGTTGAAGTAGAGTGAAATCCACTAACTCTGGCAGCTGTCCCTATCGCCTGAGACGGCTTGGACTACTGAATATAGCGCTGAGAAGAGCAGAAGAAAATTCTGTGATTTAAAAGATTGAAAGTAGGGCATGCTGAAGAGCCAGGTTTGGTGACTGTCCTGCAGGGGGAGTGAGAGGTGCATCTTGGGAGTGGTTTCTACTGTCCCTTGGAAGTGTGCGAGGAGCTAGGCTCATCTACCGTGGAAGTAAAAGTCAGGCCCGTCTCCCCTGGTCATCTCATTTCTCCTCACTTACAGTACAGTATTTGCCAGGGAGCATCCCTTGATATTGTGTTGTTTCTGTCTGTTTTTTTTTAACTGCTCTTCAGCTTTCAACTTACCAAACAAAATCCATCTGGGGTGTTTCTGCAAAAAACCCTCAGGTCACCGTTAATTCTGTTGACTGTCAATTCCTAAAAAGAGTTGTCTGTATGGGTAAAGGCAACATGAGAACATCACATGGAAAATATTCACACTGTTGGTACCGACCAGACCTGTTGACCTTGGAAACAAGTTGTTGGCTTTCTGAATGATTTCTGTAGCTGTAGTGAATAGCTTTTGTCGTAAATTGCCATCATTTTACAAATTGCGGGGTCTTGCTTTTATTAATAGAGCTATGATTTTATAATCTTCCCAATTTATTACAGAAAAGATCTTCAGGATTGGCATAGAAGGAACTGTATTACCAGAAATGTTTGAAAAAGCTTTTTCTTTTTATGAGCATCAATGCCAGTGAGGTGAATGGCTTGTCAATAATATGTTTTTAAAACTGGAAGAAAAAAAACACAGATTTTGGGAGAAGGTGCATATTGTCATTGTGTTTCAAACTATTGTATTTCACAACAGGGTTCTTTTGCCTACAGCTGTAAAAGTAACTGTTTAACAATCAATGGAAAACAGGTTGGATTTATGTGACACTTTTGCCTATGCCTGAAAGTCAGAGATTGTATTTCTTTGAGTTTCACATCCCTGTTTTTTTAAATCAGCTTTGTTTAAAAAACAAACTCACTCCTGGTTACCCAAAGCTGTTAACACAATTGAGTGATCAAATAAGTTCTTTTCAATTGATCTAGAAAGGGATTGTTGGTCATGTAGTGTGTTAAAAAGCCATGAAACTCTTCAAAGCTGCCACTTATCGGTGTGGAAGGTGTTATTCATTTGGCAGCACAGTTTGTCACAGCACACAAGAACCTGATATTTTAAAAAACAAGCAGTAGAGCCTTTGTGAATGAAGTGTGGCCTGTTGAAAGATAAAGCAGTCTGTGGGGAGCTTATACTTCTGCACCCAAATTTTCTAAACTTCACATTTAGAACTTAGGATGCACCTTACAATTAAAAATGTAGTGTGGGGTGCAAAGAAAAGAGGTGTGTTGATCAGATCGCATGGGAGTGCTGTCCATCAAACCAGCAGTTTTGTTGATTTAACAGACGGATGTTATAGACTACACCAGTATTTTCTGCAGTATCTGCTTAGTTTACCACAGGACAAGCAAAGTCATGGGGAGATGCAAGGTGCCCTATTGATTGACACTGAAATGATTAGTAGTTTGTCCATGGATTGAATTTCACAAACATCTTGATAGAACATCTAACAACATGTATCGTTTATCTTAATGCATGCTTTTTTATTGTATTCATTTCCTTCTAGGGTTCAAATGCAGATTTCTGGTAAATGTTACATAGGGAATATGAGGGCCTGCAGACCAGACAATGACCACATGCTCACTTTGTGACACCCTGACAGTGCCTGACAAGAGAATGAGCACCAATAGGTGCTGACACCCATCAAGTCTCAATGTTTGTTTTTTTTGCCTGAAACTAAGAGGAAGGGGGCCCCAACTTTGAGTAACACTCATTCTACCCTGGCAATGTTTTGCCAACAGTTGGCTGCCAGTTGGCTACAGTTACTTAATAACATGACCCAAAAGAGCTTCATCTGACCTTTAGTGTTTGACTTCATTGGTAGTGTCACTCACACACCCAGCTTTTTTATTTTGTTCCATTTTGTGACAGTTTTATAATCCTTTGATTTTTTTTCCATTGAGTTTATTTACATAGGATAAGCCTGTTGAGATCAAGAATTGTGTTGTCCAGATCGTTTTGCAAACTTGCCTTACCTTATTAAACTTCCTGAGTTCTTCTTGTTTCCTTTCTCTTTTCATCTCTTTATCCTTCTGTAATCCTCTCAATAATTGTTTTGCTTGCTCTATACATATAAATTTGTCTAAGCCGAGCTGTGTGCTACCTGGAGTGTTATATTCCTAGTTTACAGATAACAGATTAAAGCACATTTCTGAATGTCTCATGTTAGGTTCTGTTAAACTGAGACAACGAGCAAAGTACAGAAAGACTTACAGGTATGCAGCCCCGTGTTCCAAAAGACTGCATTTAAATAAACAAACTAGATGTTCTTCAGAGATGAAATTCAAAGAACAGCACAAAAGAATAAGATGTGTTCTATAATCTCTCTAAAATGTTCAAACACCATTACATTTTAGAATATGTGTTTTGTACTCAAATGATTTTGTGAAACATTTCGGAATGTATTCAATAATGTTTTTTTTTTCCTTTTATACTCTTAAACTGAAGACCAACTTGATTAGACTTAGTTTTCATGATATTTACCTAAAACCAACTGTAATAATTCATATTACCTGTTGCAATACAGCTCTAAGTGCAGGAGGGGCTTTGCTGGGCAGTCTGTAGCTTTTGTAAAGGAGATACAGACGATTTACCTGGGATGAGGAAAAATAGAACATTTCATGAAGGTGATTCTTTTGTTTCAGTGGTAAGAGAAACACACGCAGCTACAAAGAGATTCTGACAGCATCTTAACCTGATTCTCAAGAACCCTATGTCTTTCCCCAGACACGTGAATACAGGAAAGCCTTCTCTTATCTAGTTAAACAACGTTTGCCGGGTTGATTTATGTGTAATGACAGAACATAAACCAGGGAGCGGTTGCAATTATAGTAAGACAAAAGAAAAACTGCAGTTTAGAGTAATCACAGAAGTCCACTGGGATACAGTAGACAATTACGCTTATTCTGCATTCCATGTTAACGATATTGTTCGCTTAATTAATTTTTGTGCTCAATGGTCTGTATATTGGCGAAGCCCATTAAGGGCATTTAAAGTTATTTGGGGAAACTCTCAAAAGGCAAGACAGGGACTCTGTGTATTGAGCTGGAAAGACAACAGCTGTTGTCGTGCACTTTACCGAGTTTGTAGTCTGAGCACAGGGACGTATCTTTTGATCCTTCTGATCCAACTGGATAGAAAGGAATCTGTGCCGTATAACTCTTCTGCTACTAGTGTAAATTGGCCTCCCTAGAGACAACAGGGTAAGGGACTTGAAAATTTGTTGTGATATGTTGTGGTTTCTGGTGCTTGTTGTTTACTACATGTAAACTGTTTTATTGCTTCTCCTAACAATAATTGTTCCATCCCACACATAGTACAATTACAGACTCTCACGAATTTCAACATGACAGAATGTTGCACCATTAAGCTGTCCTATTTCTCTCTTCCATTTTCTGTAATGAGCTTTCCCCTCATGTTAGGCACCATGCCCAAGACACCTTTGGTAGCATATGTTCTCATTTTAAGGGGATGAACCATTTCCAGAAACTTGTGCTTCAGATCCCAGAAATGGCTTGTTTTAATTGATGGGGTAAGACTTTTTTTTAAAGGACCAAAGGGGTAGAAGAACTGTGTTTCATTATGTACCGAAGGTGAGTATTTCCACCTCTATTTGGTGGATAGAATACTATTCAGCAGCAATCAAAGAGATATATTATAGAGTCTTAACATACCTCTACTCTGTCTCAAGATGTCCTGGGCACTGTGGATGTTTCCTATGTATATCTTACCTTGATTACAGTAAGAAAAAAAATATTTTTGGTTGGGATCATTTCACCTCAATGAATGAAAAATATTTAGAAAGAATATTCCCCAATTTCATGCACTTGTTGCTACAGGGTTATTGACCACAATATTTTTTATTTATTTTATTTTTATGAACACTTAAACCTCAGTTTCTTACCTATATGTACAGTAGTACTGTTGGACCTACACTTGTCTATCATTGCTATTTCAAAACTGTATGTTATTTTTAGGATCTGGACAAGTCTTAACCATCTGCAAAAACCTGCACAATTAATTCGTCAAAAGGAACACACCGCAAAAGCTAGACTTTACTACTCTTCTGTAGATGTTCTCACTGAGATTTCTGAAGTGGGATTTCTTTACAATGTCTCATTATACAGTCTTTAGTCTGGCTCTGGAAACCTTGCAAAGCTACAGACAAAAGTGTTTGACTAAACTTATGCTGGAGCCTTGCAATGTTTGCTTTGTTTGTTAGGAAATTCAGAACACGTTCTGATGACATCTGGACATGCAATGGTCCCCTTCGTTTTTTTTTTTGTTTGTTAGTTTCAAAAGGCTAACAAATCAGATCGTGAGCATTTGCTGTTTGCAGCGGATAGGAAAAAGACAGCTGTGATAACGTCAATTGAGGTAAACATACAGTACATACAGCATGCGCACTTGTTGTAATCTTTTGTAGAGGAGAGCTGACTGTGAAAAACAGGTATTACATGTGGTCTTATCTCATTATCTTGGAAGTGGAAAATACAAGTTTTCTCTAATTGTGCAGGCTTGTCCAAAGCAAAACTGAAAAGGATGAGCAGCAGTGCTTTGGGCAAATGTTTATCTATAGAGTGACTTAGGTGATTGTGTTTACTGCAATGTTTTGAAGTGAAAGGCTAATGTTTTTCTACATATGTGTAAGGTTTCTGTTTAAAATTTACTTCATGATAAGGGTTGAGGTTCACCTGCATTTTTTTGTTACCACTGCTTTTCATAGGGGTGTTGCAAGCAATTTCCACTGGCAGCATTCGTACCAGCAATGGTGTATTTAGTTGAGAGAAGGTGGCATGGCGCTGTGGGATTTTTAATGGGCTGTGCTTGTGTGTGAGTAAGTGCTTTCAGTGGGAGCTACATTGATTCACACCTCACCACTGAATTCCCACTGTGGTGAAAACAAAATGATGAGCAGACCAGGGAAATAAAAAAGAAAAAGACATGCTGCTTTTCAAACTAAAAAACAGCTGTGAAACAGTGTGGAGTGTCCAACTTTACATTGTATCTCTTTCAACATTAAATATTAAAAGGTATTTTCAAACAGTACTGTAAATCCACTCTTATGTTCACCTCAATCAGATTCACCCACATATTCTACTGTTTCCATTTATTTATTGTGTGTGGTTTGTTTGATTAAAAAGTCTGAACTGTAGTATATATATATATCACTTACAAAGATTTTAAAATAGAGCTGTTTCCCTACCAGCATTTTATCTACAATGTTATCTGCAAACGATTTTCGAAATGAGTGTGATTAAACAATACTATCCATTTGTGTGAAACAATGTGCCATTGCTTTTTCTCAAGTAGGTAAAAACCTAGACCACAAAATCACAAGCTCACAAACCCATTTTTGATTCAATAATAGAAAATGACACATTTATGACAGATGGAAATGTTCAAGATAGAAGTAAAGATCATATGAGCATAAGCATAAAGATCAGCATAAAAAATTCTTTCTAACATCTAGCAAATATTGCAGAAAAAATACATCAACCCTTTATTGACTTTTTAAAGACAGACACCAACCCCCCCCCCCTCCCGGTCCCCAAGTTCTTCAAAAATTCAATGCCTGATTTTGAAAGAAAATTAAAACCAATCTTTTTTTTTAAAAAGGCCAAACTCTAGTAGTGTGCTTTAGTGCATGCTCAACTTGTGTCAGATTGGTCTAGTCTAGTTTCTGTCTCTAATTAGTTTGTTCAAACAAGTTCAAGAAAACTATCTGAAAAAGGATCTGACTCAACTGCATTTCATCCATGTAAATGTGAAAGACATATTCATAGCTTCCTAACATAATTCTATTACACTTTTGTTCATCTTTGTACACTGTGTTAATCTTTTATATAATAAACACTTTTAACAGTGTCTTAATTATGGTTTGACACCTGAGTTCTTCACGTTTTGCTGCCAGTGCAGTTTCTTAAAAATGCCATTGTTTTTGGATTGGTTTGACTTTATTCCCCAACAACTTTAAAGAAAGACATTTTCCATAAAGCATGGCCTTGGCTTCATGTCACAATTCTCGTGCCTTGTATAACTACTGTAAATGCTGAATGTTGTACAATAAAGATGGGGTTGATTAAAAAAAAATGAATTACTAGGCTGCAACAGCTTTTTAGTGCTGAACAGATGTACATGTTTGGTAATGCCAGGGCAGCTGTGTGTTATATTGTATTTAAAATTATGGACATTTTGGATGTTTTCTGTACAGTAGAATTTGCAAATGTATATGCAGCCTTTTGAAAATAAATGTACAGTTGGAAAAACCTTTACATTTAGTTGAATAAAAAGTTTTTTTTTCCCCCTTGAGGAACTTGTTGTTCTTGTAATTACTGTATTATTCAGTAGTCGGGTAAAAGTCTAAATGAGTTGCCAGATATAGAGGGATAGCATTCTTAAAACTGGCATTAACTGTCTGAGAAAATGACAGTGCTGGCCGAAGATAAGGAATGAGCCAGGAAGGCAGCTGCAACAATGGAGATTGTGTAGGGAAGAGAGCTAGAAAATGCACACGCAGTTGTGAGCAGCCAGGGAGTATTTAAACATAGGAGACTGGAAGTATGACATTAAAATATGACCTCCTCCAGAACATTTGTTAAATAGCACAATTTTTTAGAATTCCAGATACATTCGGGTGAGCAGTTGCTCAAGAGGAAAGTTAATTATACACACCAGAAGAAGGCTGCACAACTGAAATGTTGTGAGTTTTTTCTTTATTCTTACTTGTCTGGAATTAACCTCTACTTGTTTGTTTCTTTAGAGATATTTTGATCCTTGCATAATTTTATTGTTTGTTGTTACTAAGGGATAATGTTTTCATTAGATATTTGTGTGCATTTCACCTGTCTAGGATATAGTTGTTAAAAAATAGATATTTTTTATTTATACTTTATTTTACTATATATATATGTTGCCTTAACACAACAATATTATGGGTGAACAACCAGCAATAATGATTATTAATCCCAGTTTTTTAATCAGAAGTACAGGTTTTGAAAAAAAATCTGCAGGTTTGTGTCAACTGTCCACAAGGTGTCACTGCCGCAGAGACTGCGTGCCATCTAAAAATTAAGTGTTGTCCTAATAAAGTAAAACAACACAATAAATCAGGGATATCATGGTGGGTTTAATCAATCTGTTACCACTCCTTTCTATGTTAATATGTTTTTCTCTACCTACTTTAGACCACAATCAGAAAATTGCACCAATATTTATCAGTATTATTTTTAAATGTATATGCATAGTACAGGTTAAAGTGTGTACATTATGCACAAACACTGTGGAAATACAAGAAATTTTAAGGAAATACTGCTCAATGCAGTCATGACTATCTGTTGAGGCTGTTTTGCTTAGTTTTGAGCTCAATATGATTCCTGGAATGTCCTTCTTCAGCACCATCTTGAACAAAATGACAATTTCATACAGCTAGCAGAATTCCATACTATCAAGCAAACAAGCTTTCAAAAATCATCCATGAGGTGACAAGAAACCCTTTGTGCTGCTGACAAGGACATTCAGGATTTTGTAGATGACAAGAGGACCAGAGCACACAACAGACAGAAGGCCAGCGAGTGCTGTAAAGATGGTGCCCAAACTCATCTAATCATCTAATCCAGTCTGACAATATATTTCTCAAAGCAAACTGGCAGTGCTGTGGATTATAACACCTCTTGTGCTAATGTAAGCCCTGAGTTGTTCTGCATTAATCACAGCATCAAAAATACCACATCACTTTTGTCTACAGTAGATGTCTCTGTCAGAGCCTTGTAATTAGTCTAACCCAGGCAGGACCAATTTCATTAAGCTGTTAATTAATTGCCCAGGCAGTGTGTATAAATCCGCAAAAAAATTCTGCCAGTTTTTAATCCCTCCACCATTATCCCCCCACCCACCAGCACACACACAAAGTATCATTTCCTTTTCAAATATCTTTTGTAATTATGTCAACCAGCCTTCTTCCAGACTCTGTGTGCTTTTGCTTTTATTACATTTAATCTCTTGCCGGCCAGTTTGGAAGAGTAAACAGCTCCTTATTACAGAAAGTCCCCTTATCTTGTTGGCTGTGTGATGAGGTAAACACGCAGCCAGCACTGCTGTTTCCTGGCTTTGTAAGAGCAAGTGGGGAAAACAGGCTTGAGTCACAGTCCTGCAGGGAGAGAGAGGTGGTTTGTAAGTATCTTTATTTATAAACATAACAGGACATGGGCTGAGAAGTCCTCTTCACACCTGTTTCAGCTTCAGTCAGTTCCCAACCTTTAAGCAATAAGCACAGCACGATGTATGCAGTTTCTGTATTTGATTTAGTTCTGATTGAGTAAAATATTCGATTTACTCTGTTTCGTCATTATAGTTAAGTTACAGAATTAACCGTGACAGTGGTTTATAAAGACTAAATGGATAAATAGCTGAATAGTTACTACCATTTCACTGAACCTTGGAAAATGCTGAATGACATGTAATATCTGGGTTCTCCTCCAAACCTCCAATTTGCAGTCAGTGGTAGAAACCAGAGCCCTGGCCAGCAGTCACTGAGTCATTGAGAAACAAAGATCAACAGGTGTACACATTTATCAGGCAAAACGTGTTGGTGCTATAGGACACCAGAAAAAGGAAGAGGATGCATCTTTTTGCACAAAGGTACATCAACCATAGAGCTCAAGGAAAATGATGTTAAAATGGAGTTCTAAATGCATTTCTTCAAGGTGTTTTAGGAGTGGGGCCAGCTATTTTTCTACTACTGATACCCTGCTGTAACAAATGGCAAAACAAGCTTTTTTATTTTAATTAGGATGTTATCACAGCCAGGGCAATGAATGCAGCCAAAAGGAGGTTGTGGTTTATTTATTCTTTTAACAATGAACTCGGGTTCCCTGAGATAAGTTCATTCTTAAACCTTTCTTACTCTGCTAGCCCCCTCTGCTCTCAGGTTCACTGTCTTGTTCTTGATTTCTCCAAAGCTCTCCCACAGCAGTTCCTGATACAGCCTCTCCCTCTCGCAAATGCAACGATGTAGCAAACACCTGCTATGAGGGATGAGGGAACACCAGTTTAAATAGGGAGGAGCCTAGCTGTCAGGTACAAGGATTGTAAGGGACGACAGCTGGCTCCTCTTAGGCAGTCATTTGAGCTGACTGTCACAGATGTCTTTTCTAAATGATCTCTTTTAAGTTGCTTGGAAATTACGCCAGTCTGATTTTTTAATCTAGAAATATATGTCAATAATTATGTCATAATTAGGCAAAGCATAACTACAGTACCTTTCTTTTAGAAAAAGCAATCTCTTAGTAAAAGTCAAGTATAAGTTCCTTTCTGTTTTGGGATGGGCTTACACACATTTACTTACACTTGAACAGACAGTTTATCAAAATGGCCAAATACGCATTTCTGATACTGAAGCATTTTTCTTCAAATGAAAGAGGTTTATGTTTTTTGGCTTCCCCCCACCTTCCAAACATGAAAAAAGATTGGTGTCTGTAGGATTGTTCCTATCAGCTTGTGCGTTTGCCCTGCTATGGAGTGGTGTGACAGTTTGATTATTGACAGATAAAAGTTTGCCATTTAAAAAACTTCACGATATAAAAGTTGTATTTTTTTTAGGTAAAACCACCTAAAGCTAACAAAATTTTAAAGTACAACTAAAACTGTCCCTCTCCACACCTACTGTATGGTCACGAGCTTTGCGTAGTGCCCAAACAAATGACATTGAGAGTACGAGCAGAAATTTGTTTTTTCTCTGTAGGTCTGCTGGGTTTACTCTCTGTAACAGGGTAAGGAGCTCAGCACTCTGGGAGGACCTTGGAGTCGTGTATAACCTCTAGGTCGAGAGGAGCTAATGGAGGTAGTTTGTATTTGGAGAGGATGGCCCCAAGGCAATAAGCCAGCAACCATGTTGCCCTGTAGCTCTCAACTGGTTCCTGGGAAGCTACAGTTGCTACCGGAAGTCATGTTAGTGGGGCCAGTGGGGGGCACCCACCTGCAGTCTGTATGAGTCATAATGCCACAGTATAGTGGCAGGGAGAATATACTGTAGTGGGCGCCATCTTTTGGATGAGACTTTAAACCGAGGTCATGACTCTCGGTGGTCATTAAAGATCCCCGGGCATTTCTCGATAAGAGTAGGGAGTTATCCCAGTGTCCAGGCCAAATTTCCCCCCTCAGCCTTTACTGTGGCCTCCAAATTGTCCCAATGTATGTTTGGCTTGCACTTGCCCAGCGATGGACTGGCACCCTGTGTCATGACATGACCCCTGGGCACCTTCTGCTGGAGGAGTACCAAGCACAGCCCAATGGGAAGAGCCCCTGGGGCAGGCTCAGGACACACTGGAAGGACACACTGGAATTTTTTCTCTCAGTTGGTCTGGCAACACCTGGAAATCCCCCAGGAGGAGCTGGAGACTATTACTGGGAATAGGAATCTCTGGTCTGCCCTGCTCCGGCTTTGACCACCACTACCCTCTCCAGGAGTATGTGGTTACAATATGGATGAAACTAAAACTGTTTTACAATAAATTGAAACTGAGTAATAATGAAAAAATGAACGATAATATGGAAGAAGCTGAAGTAAAACAATAACCTTTAAATATATACAGTATATTAGATGTATTATTCCAACATGGAAATTCCATGATATACATTGATCAAATAATCCAGGAAAAGTTTTTTAAAGGTCTGCTCCTGGCAGTGAGAAAGATGCACTGTACATTGCAAAGGCAAAGCAATATTCTCTCACATGTGGAGAAGCACTGTTTCGTAGGCAGAACCCAGACACACTGGGCAAAGATCCTAATAGCATTTACCATTTAGATTATAGGAATACCAGCTCCAGCAGTTCTGCAGCATGGATGTGAATACAGGGCAAATGTGTTGTAAGCTAAAATTAGTACAGGCTTTATTTCACCAGCAAGGAATAGAGCCCTATTAACAGACACATCAGGAAGAGGGACATAGTGCAAACACACACGTCCCGATGACACTGATGGATATGGCTTGTGAAAAGGGCAGACGTTTCCATGAGTTGTCCTCCCCGCCCCCCACTTGAAAAGGGTTAACATCTCCAGATCAAAGATAAGCCCTTATTGCAAACAGCAAAAGCCTGCTTTCCTCCTGCCTCTCCAATAAAGGGCCTGTGGTCGAAACAATTACTTCTCTCTGTGACGTACGAGAAGCTGCGGAGCTCGGTGTGTTTTATTAAAGGTTTGCCTCTTAAATTATTTCTTGCAAAAAGGCCAGGCACATCCTGCAGGCATTGGAGCTAATAAATAGAGGAGGTGGAAGAGGGAACATCGTGTTGACTTGCACCTGGTGTATCTCAACAGAATGCATTACAAGGTAAGGTAGCTCTTCCCTCTTTCGAATAGCTCGTGGCTGTGATAACAGTCAAAGGCTTGGGCTTTAGGGGCACTTGCTAATGCTAATTTATGTTACATTTTAAGGGAGTAGTGAGGCTTAAAGTTGTGTAAGTTTGAAAAAGTTACTTTTACAAATGTTTTTTGGGCATTTAAAAATCGAAAAGAAGAATCAAGGCAAGTTCATTGTTCTGGTGTTATGGACACCTGGACAGTCAAACCGATTTATTCTGGGCTTTGGACCATTTCAGCAAATGTTAGCTGTTGCAGCTGCTGGGAACTTTGTAGGAGATATTCTACATTCTGTTAGTAATCATTATGTCAATGGAACGTACAAGTTAATTCTAATCAGAAGCTATTTTCCCACTTAGCTTCCCATGCAAACCTTAATAAGAAGCTTTACTATGATTTATACACATTTAAACGTGTCTGTTTCCTACTAACATTGTACTTACAGTATTTAAATGTCATAAAATAAACTTTTAGGATTTATAACTATATATTGGAAAGCGGAACAGAAATCTGTTTGCATGAATTTGGGAGTTGTACAGTTTAATGTTGTAGTTGTATGGACATATCTTCCCAATTTGTGGATTTCATGTGTTTCAGATCTGTTCTATAAGAAAAGCCCCAAAAGGAGTACTTAAAATGACTTTTATTATTTAAATAAATGTATGTAAATGTTAAATAATGTAGAATTAACTGAGACAGACCTTGCTGTCTTCCTGGTGAGAATGAAGTTTGAATTAATTTCTATAGGTTGCTTTGAAAAACAGTAATTATGAAACCTTTTACTATATCAGCCTGATGGACAACAAGGCTCTCTCCCAACACATTACCTAAAATGCTTTATGTGTTTTTGCTGCTAATAAAATTAATATGTATGCTCAATTTTTACTTAGACTACTCTTGAATACTGTATCTACCTGTATAAAGCTCTGTGCTCATCCTATCAACAAACAGCTGCTGACAGTTCTGTAAGCAAATTTAGACATAAAGGATTCTAATCTAATTGTTGAATATACAGTATGTGTATATACTGTATATTCCAGAAGCAAAATGTATTTCTGGCATTAATGTCTGGTTTTACAACAGTAATGAGTTCCTGTTAGACATTATTATGTATCAGATTCACTTCAATTCTAAACTACTACATGACATTTGTATGTTCATTAGCGCTAAAATGAGGGAACTGCTCGTTCAAGTAAAGCTTAGCAAGGGTGCCTTTAGAGAGAAAAGGAAAAAAACATCCCACACACCCCAGGCAAGAATACTGTATTTACTGCAGTTCAGAGCCTCAAGGTTTGATCTCATGACAGAGAGGTCTTATTGTGCCTAAACATCAGGCTTATTGTGATACATTCTGTTTCACCCAGGTTTTATAGTTCATCCAACCAGTTTACTCTGAACGATGCCCAGTTTCAACCCTCTACGATGGTTGAAGGATGGCAGGGAGTCCCGGAAGCTCGTGTTAGTGGTGGTCTTTGTCGCCTTGCTGGTAGATAACATGCTGCTTACTGTCGTGGGTAAGTCAATCCTCTGTCTTCTGAGCAAGATGTTTGTTTTGTTTTTGAATCAGAATGCAAATCTGAATGAAAGCTAACAATGCACCTAATGAAAAAAAAATGTGCATGAATGTTTAAAAGAACTGGTCAGGGAAGTTGTTAAAAATAAGGGAACCTCCCAACAAATATGTGAGATGTGACCAGTGTGGAACAAAACCAAACAAGTGAATTAATTTAAATCGTAGACAAACTGTAAATGGTACTAGTTTGACCCATACATATCAAGGCTTTCGTAACCCTAAACATATACGTTAATGAAGGAAAAATAGATTGGTAGGGAAAGCATACACATTGCATGTGTACCTTTGTTTTCCCTCTAACTAAATCCAAAATTCACTCTGTTCAAATTCAAATAAGATTCAAATCGGAAGCTAACCTTTAGGATAAACTGAATAAAATGTAGACATGGTCTGTGGCACACTCTGGTTTCAGTGGAGCAAACCTGACAGAGCAAACAACTACTGTTCTGTCATTTGTTTTGGTCACTTTACATCTTTGCTCTAATTACACAAACTTTTGGAGTGCATTTGTATGTGACAAAACGTCTTTGAACACTGAGGTCAATTGGTTAGTTTCTTGTTTTACTGGTGTCTGCTTCTAAAGTGCATCTCTTTCCCCAAACTAAACAACTGTCATCTCTGATTTTGTAGTGCCCATCATCCCCAGCTTCCTATATGCCACCGAGTACCAGACGTCAGAACATTCTGTAACCCTGAACGACAGCTCACTTCCAACACAGAAGGCCTATGAAGCCACCACATTCTCCTCTGTTTTTTCCTTTTATGACAACGCAACCTACGTCGTTAGTGACTCTGCTGTCAACGTGTCAGACCTCATTTCCGATGTGAATGTCAACAGCTCTTTCGAAAGGGAGGCCGTGACGTCAGCACCGTATAACAACTGTGTGAAGAACAGTGACTACCTCGTGGAAGAAAATGTTCGTGTGGGGCTGCTGTTCGCCTCCAAAGCTTTAGTACAGCTATTGACTAATCCCTTTGTTGGCCCTCTGACAAACAGGTACTGTCTGAGGCTTCTTACCCCAAGCCTAGGAGAGCACTCAAACCAGGGTCAATATTCTTCTTTGCTTTTAAATATGGTTCTTCTTTCTTTGCCTTCAGGCTGTTTCAACAAGAGTAAGGCTGTTTCCTCTCAGTTATGTCTAAATTCATTTGAAACAGAAAATTCAATATCTATTTTGTCTTATAAGCACCTTTGTGCTAATTAATGCTTCTTCATAAGAACGTTTACACGTGAACTGAGGTAATTTGGCCCATCTTACATCAAGCATGCAGCTTTTCTCCCTGTCTTGAACTGTGCTAGTTATGCTGCTCAAGTGTATCAAAGCCATGTCGGCAGTTCATTCTAATCTCAACAGGCAAAATAGTAATCAAGCTGATGCTTACAGCACAGCAGTAGCATTTGACAAGTTAGCTGAGGAAGATCAGCTCTCTTTGCCTCCTATCCCAACTGAATTTAAACACAAATGTCTGAGTAGATTCTGTACAGTCCTTGGGCACCAAAGCTCATTTATTTCAGATTCATACTGTATCTGTATAAGTCAGCTGACGAGCACACCCCATAATGTGTAATGAATCTGTTCATTATGGGAATTTTGATTTAAACTACAGGTGCTCCAATGTACAGTATACATGCAGTGGATATATGGAGTCATTTTATGAGCAAGACACTAGAAAGTTTATTTGCTGGAACTTTGTATTACAAGGTCACTATTTGTGGTTTTGTGCTTAACCTGTAAATTATTAATTTTGATGCCTATAGCACTTTCATGACCTGAAACAAAACTTATTTTTGTTGTGGTAACTCTTCGTAACAACTCATTATAGTATATTCTCACACCGCAATGCGGGTTCTAATAAATCCGATCTTGCACAGGGACAGCCCTTTGTTCATTTATGTGCCCTTTTGAATACAGTGGAGAGTTAGCTGCAGTTTTTGATTTTCCCCTTAAACACAATAACAGTAGGAAAAAGATGAAAATATTTGCCATGTGCTATAATGAGGGGCCCTACTCTAGTGTGTTGGGAACTGCCTGCTGATTTGTTTAAAAACATCAAGGTCTCCAAGTCTGTTTGCCCTCCATTTTGAAGGTCAGTCATTATCAAAGTTAATATCAGCTCCTTAAAATAAACAATAGTCAAGTCACTGTGTCCTTTCACCAATCTAAAACACAAAATAAATAAGCCAACCACTTTCTCAGCCTGACTGTCTCTTGTGTGTTTTCCCTTTTCCAGGATCGGATTCCACATCCCAATGTTTGCTGGATTTATTATCTTGTTCTTCTCGACAATAAGTAAGCATCAATTAATAAACATGAAATATAAGTATTAGCACATACAGATTCATCAGAGTAATAATAATAATTACTTTTTGGCAAGGAATGTCAGAGCTCCTAATGGACTCTCCGAAGTTTGTCATCATTGGGGTTATTATGGACTTTTTAATAAACTCTCATAACTTTTCATCCTACTGTATGAAGCCTCAAAGGTTTTGCCTTGGAGATGTTTGAATTTATCCTAAAAAATTTTAGTTTTGCTTGTAGCATTTCTTGCCTGTTTGAATCAGAAAAGCCTGGGCAAGTTTTAGTCCTGAATAGAGCTTAACTCAGTCACATCCTTCTGATTTTAGCATTTAATGGGGAGGGTTTAATTGCAGAAAAATGAAGTGTTTCATTGTGTTAAGCATTTTGGGTAAAAATTCCAGCATAAATATATACATTTACAAACTTGCAGTCAGTACATATACATTGGCATAATACAAATATGATCAATGCTATTCTTTCATTCTGCTAATTATGGTCCACTAATGCAGTTAACTGTTCTGTACAACTTACCTGAGATCAACTAACAAATCTTTGCTTATTGTCTTTCTGATTTGCAGTGTTCGCCTTTTCAGGAACATACACCCTTCTATTTGTGGCTCGAGCCCTGCAAGGATTCGGTTCTTCATTCTCCTCTGTAGCAGGTTGGGAACCTTTGAGCACATATGATAGGCAGAAACTATGTGGTTGCACTAAACTCCATGTACGTTCCATTTGTGTCCTCTGGTTCGTCTTGCACTGTTGAGTGAACTATTAGCTTCATATCTTATATAGAAAAAACTGCTGAAGATGATGTTTTTGTAAATTGTTTCTCAGGATCTTTCCGGGACATACAGAGTGGCAAGAGACCCCCTTCCTGCCCCCTAGTCCCGGTACCATGACTTAATAAAATGTTATGCCATGAACCTGGCATGAACCATATTGTTTTGTATAAAAAACTGAAAGTTTGAATTTGGTTAATATATCTGAGTTCCTTTTATAAACGGCCCTTTATACTTTCCATTACAGTACTTTGAACTAAAGCCAGCAGTTGTTTCTGACTTCATCTTGTTGCCTTGAGCCAGCCTCACTATTACTACATGACAATGGAGACAGAAATATGTTAATTTTTCAAAGACGGGTTTAAGAATTGTACGTCAAAAATGAAGCAATACTGGTGACGCATGCAAACCAACAAGTGGGTGGCTGGTTTTCTTCCAATATGGAAACCAGGAATTTTGTACATTAAACAACTTAATTTACATATTTAAAAGAAGGCATTCGGAAACAGACGTTTCAATAGGGCCTGTGCTGTCTTTGTAGGCCTGGGGATGCTGGCCAGTGTTTACACAGATGACAATGAGAGAGGTGTTGCCATGGGACTAGCTCTTGGAGGTCTAGCAATGGGAGTTCTTAGTAAGTAGCATCCTGTTTTCCAGTTTTGCATCATTTATACACAAGTGTTTCACAGTTACATTTATACACAGTTACATTTATTGCATCTTTACTAATACCCGGAAAAGTGGTACTTTCACAAATGCACATTCACAAAATCACTCTCTTAAATCTTAAATCAGATCTTAAACAAATATTTTCTGCATTAATGCTGATTTTCATGGGGTGATTACATCGCTAAGTGGTAAAGAAGTAAAGTGTAAAAATGTTTCCTTGATTTTTCTACCCATTACTAAAACCGCACACTACATGGGTTAAGTGTCTCAGAAAGCTTCATGCAATGAGGAGTTTCGTTTTTATAACTCATAATTAACCGTGGAACAAGTCACGTGTATAATGTAAAGCACAATTTATTCTCTATTTCTTTGAGAGAGTCAGTTGTCATGGACAGAACTGTGACTACAAAATTACTGTGCTTCAGTAAAATTGTGTTTTTGCCTTTTCTCTGACAGTTGGAGCCCCATTTGGAAGTGTCATGTATGAGTTTGTTGGGAAAAGTGCCCCGTTCATTGTTTTAGCTTGCCTGGCTTTAGTTGATGGAGGTAAGTTAGTAAGTACTGTAAGTCAGTATATATTTATACACATATTACACCATGTAACGTTTTCTAAAGTTCTCCCAATAAGGTAAGGTGTCACAACGTCACAAATGAAATATTTTGTGTTCATAAGTCTTACAAAATAATGAATCATGACAGGCTTTGGCAGAGTAAACAAAAGTGTTGCAGTTTATTTAGGGTACTAGCAGTGAGGTGAGTGGCATAGCAGTTGGTGCTGAGATAGGGGGTTTGCCCCATATTCTTGTGAATTTTATTGGGGTGCTCCACTTTTCTCCACCTTTCACAGACATGCTGGCTATGACACATGGTGCCTCTACATTGTCCACACATCTTGTGTGTGTAACCTGCATTGCACTGGCATTTCTTCCAAGGTATAGTCCAACCTTGAGCCCTGTGCTTTCAGTACAGGCTCCACGTTGCCATAACATTCCCTAGGAATAAGTGCCTGGTATTGGGTAAACAGTATTGGTAGGCTAATATGAATGGTGTTCAACCAAGGTGCATTAAGACATTGGTAATAACCCTTGAGCATTGGTAAAAATCTCATTGAAATAATAATGTAATTGTATTTCCTTACTCCCTTCTCCTACATAGCATTACAGCTCTGCATACTGCGGCCATCAAAGATCTCTCCTGGGGTGAGTGTTTCTTCCCTTTCCATTTAAACAAAATCAAAATCACCAGGGGCAGGGGAAAACCTTGAATGTCAAATGTAGTTCTGAATAATAAACTGGAAGAAAGATGTCCAATTTTGTTAGTATGTCCCAGTAGCACTGTGTTCAATATGACAAAATGCTTGTTATCTTCATTGGCAGGCAATCGAGAAGCAGTCCAATACTGACTAAGGAACTGTATTCTCATTTACAGGAATTAGCCACAGCGTAATACAGACTATGTCTAATGCTGCTGATCCAAAAGATTTGATTAACACATCCTGTTAATTCTTGTGACCAACAAAAGTCTTCCTGTAATATAGCAATTAGCCTGATCTTGTGAGGTCTCAGCCCACAATTCCAGCAGGCCTCCTTCCACCATTTGACTAATTAAAATGCTTATGATTCACTATAAAAATGTGGTCTTCCCTAGACAACTGCATTTGAGCTCTAGTAAAATCTTAACCTGTAAGTTTAAACATTTTCTTAAATCTAAATCTTAAATTGTAAGCCACAGACTGCACTTTCTGTATCTGAAATTATAACATACAGGAAAGAACGTTTGTTATCAGCCCTAGGTTTATGGAAGGTAAACTGCTTTCAAACCTAGAATCCTACTTTTATTATTGGCAGCTACCGTAATTATCTTAACATTAACATGATTAATATTTAAGACTATTTTCCACTTATTTTTTATTGAGGTTATTTTTGGTAAAAACTCCATTGAGAATCTCCTAATTAAAATTGCCAGAGACTTCTGCGCTGTTAATTTCTGTAGCACATAAACCTCAAGAGATAATAATGGCTGCAGACCAGTTTTTTTTCTCAGTAAAAATGCCAATATTTGTGGTGTAGATCCAGTTGAAATCTTACCAGTGTGCTTTGCCTAGTAATATACCTTTGATTTTTTTCCAGAGTGTAGAAGGCACACCTTTATTAACCTTACTACGGGATCCTTATATTCTAATAAGTGCAGGTAAGTACAGATTCCGAGTTATTTAAGAACTATCATCTCATCTGTTGCTGAGAAAAAAAATCACAGCTGTTAAGCATAACACATTTTTTTTTTCAAAATAATGAAATTAGTGTAAGCTTCAGAATTGATTACCAAGTGAGTCTTAGCCTATCTCGAGAACAGCAGGGTGACAATTCTGGGGGTTGTGATGCTTCATCATGAATTATGAATCATACCACATGAATTGCCTAGGTGCATCATAAGAAAGAAAACCGTGTAATTGTGAATTGTGTGAGTTTGCTTGTTTCTGGTTCATTAAAAACATTTGTCACGCTTTAGAAACTGAAAAGACTATTTTCCCATACTGTGTTAATATTCAGCCTGTTGTGCATTAACCTCTCTCTCTATAAATAACCAGTGTTAACACTCCTCTGGCCCAGTTGTAGTATATACCTTTCTGTATTACAGGGTCCATTTGCTTTGCTAACATGGGGGTGGCCATGCTGGAACCCACACTACCCATATGGATGATGCAAACTATGTGTTCTCCAGAATGGCAGCTTGGTATGTGGATGTGTTCTCTGTCTCAGACTGTGGTTAAAACTTCATAAGTGCTCTGACACAGCATATCTATAAAAAACTATCAGTCCACGCTTAAAAGGGGTAATGGGTATCCAAGGTATGGTGCTTTCTGTTTCTGCAATCGTTTCTATGTGAAATGTATTATACGGCTTTCTGTTGTTATTTCAGTTTCAAGTTATATAAATATTTCGGCTTCAATATAAATATTGCCATAAAAAGGAGATTAAAACTTTTATGTAATGTGGGAGCCAGACAGTTCAGTTGTTTAGCCCTGGTAATGCAGAGTTCTGTAATGCAATCTGTGCCCAACACATGCCAATCCACACATGTGAATCTGTTATTGAAATAGAGACATCTGATGATCTATACCCTGTGTACTACAACCACCACTGAGACTTTCTGAATTTTGATTCACTTTGCCTGAAATGCAGATATTCATTTAGTGTGCTTTGAGGACTTTGACTGTTAAATATTAAACATTAGTAATAAAGGCTCTCTCTAATGTTAAATATTAGTCAAGCTTGTGGAATTCTTTTATTCCCTTCAAGTTATGGTGAGAGGATAATTTAATTTTAGAAACAATAAAGTTACAAAACTAGAAGTCACTTTTATTTGTTAACTCAGCTACACACATAAAACACTAGAAACATAAGCTACAACTGTACAGTGTGTTTAACTCGCTGTACTACCTCGATTTGATGTAAATTTGGTGAGAAAGAAAGCTGGCCTCTAACTTGTGCCTGTCACGTGTTTCAAAGTGCTGTGAAAATTTTTTTCAAGTAGGATATTTTTCTACTTGAAAAATATTAATTTATGTCAAGTAATTTTTTTTCCAAGATATAAAGTTGTGATTATGCTGCATGAATGCAAAAGTCTGACAACAGCTTTAATTTTGATGTTGATGACACCCAAATTTATGTTTGCAAGAAACATCATTAGTCAAGCACTGTCTGCCATGTCATGCTGTCTCAATAATGTTAATAAATTGATACAAATAACCTTTCACATCTGAACTCTAACAAGACTGAAGTTATGCTGTTTAGCTCTCCTCAACAAATCTAAAGATTGACTATTGATGGTCCTGGAATCGGTTCAAGTGCTCAGGTCAGGAGTCTTGGTGTTATCTTTGATCTGAGCCTTTGAATTTGAAGCTCATGTTAGCAATGTTATCTATTTCTCATCCTCATAGTATTGCCCATGTCTGTTCGTATCTTTTCATAATCAGATGCAGAAAAGCTAATACTTTACTTTGTCTTTTTCCAAACTTATAATCATTTACAATGTTTGCTTGTGTTTTCCGAACATGATCGTAGCCAATTGCAGCATGTTCTAAACTCAGCTTCTCTGATCTTAAACTAGAACAGACATGCATAAGTATGAGAAAGTATCTCTTGTTTTACCTTCACTCCACTGGCTTCCTGTGGAATTTAGAATAAAATTCAAAATTCTATGGTTCATTTTTCAAGGCTTGAATTGCTTGGCTCCTGCCTGCATCAGTGTATAGTACTGACAAAGTGTGTGCAAAGTACCATTAATATACACCCCAACTTTGTTTGGACTCTTTAGCCTTCTTTAGTTGCCTAAATGAAGCTCTGGGTGTCCATGCTTTGTATTCTTTTGCTAAAAAGCTTTAGCATGATCCCTCAGCTCATATGTGTCAGAATCTTCAAATTTTGTCTTAAACATATCAATATATCTTGATATATAAAATAAAGGGGATAATGATTAGAATTTATACTAAAACGATCATTCTCAGAAGTACAGCTAAAAAGTCAGGAAGGATAGAGGCATTTTATCATTTACAAAATCGGTTTAATGGCTATGTGTTTTTACACATATATGTTGTTTTTACACAAAGTGTTTTACACTTTATATGTTATTTTTTATCTCAAATGTTTGATACACGTGTTTAAAAAGAACTAACCTTCTCTTTGATAACATATTTCAGGTATAGCATTTCTCCCTGCGAGTATATCGTACCTCATTGGAACTAACCTGTTTGGCTTGCTAGCTAACAAAATGGGCAGGTAATTTTAGACTGTTACATTTTTTACATTGTTACAACAATTGTAAAAGATGAAAAGAGGGTTTTTTTAATCATCCAGTATAATTCTTTTATTTTGTTGAACAAATTTCAGCCCAGTGCTTAACTTGTGGTCAATATGTTTGGCACGTTGGCCTTTTTGCACTGGACTGTGCTTATTTAATAACATTTGTTTTGTCTTTGCTTTCCAATCTTATTATTATAAATTCTCATAAAAGAATAACAGCAGTGTAAATGTGCTCATAAAATGCTTCTGGCATGCACCCTCGAGTGAGAAGCTTTATTATCACAGATGCCAATGACTTGTAATAAGGTCTGAATTTATAATTAGGTACAGTAAGTAATTATTTGGTTTTGCATTTGAACTACACTTTGAGTTGGTTTCCTGCTAAAAGTTTGTGAACTCTATTAAAAATTCTTCATTAAAAATGTATGATCCTAGATTAGCTGTATTCATGTGCATAAATGGTTCTTACAAAGAGACGCGTGGCCAGCACAAAATTTACAAGATGCCTTTTCTAATCTTAAATACCATTTTTTCTTCTTTTTTTGTTGTTCTTGTGAGCTCATACTCTATTGAAAAAGAAGACATTTCCTTAAAAACAGGACTTAAAATGGATGGCTATTCTGGTGTCTTTTGTGTTTGAAGTTCTAGATAGTTTGATAAATACTCACAACCTCCTTGGTCCCAGTGCTTTACTGTATGTTCCATTGTGTAAGTGAGCTGGCCTTTTAGGTGCAGTGACAGTGTCGATCTCTCTACAGGTGGGTCTGCTCATTGATTGGAATGGTGATTGTTGGAATCAGCCTGCTCTGTGTGAGTATACTAAACATCTGGGATATTTGTGTTTATTTGACAGAAAAAAACATATATTATTTAGTAGTGTTCGTTTCATTGAAGACTACTGTAGATGAGTAGGTGTGCTTCTTTAATAGACATTTTACATGTTTTTGTGATTCAGAACCATCTATTACTTTTGTAATGCCCACCTGAATTTGGTATAGACAATGGTGTGTTTTTCACATCTCAGCTTGTAACTACAAACCTCACAATTGCACAGAGGGGCGAATGAGAAAGTACAGGCACCTCCTCCCACCTGTTTATCTTTGAGCCAATCGTCTTTTGACACATCACAGACACAACTGCCCCCTACTGGAGGGACAGCACTGATTGGAAGACAGGTGCATCCTTCACTGACAGCACAGTGTGCTAAAAGCCAATAACTGTCTTTGTATCTACTTAATTCATTACCTAGGTTAATTACACTTGTATTATATTTGTGTTATAGAAGAAACTTATTTAGTTATTGAAATTTGTATTCAGGTCAGAAATTCCTAAAACTGATGTTCAATTAAATTAAATCTCAGGTTCCTCTAGCAAACGATATTTATGGACTCATTGGTCCTAACGCCGGCCTTGGACTTGCGATTGGTAAGTGATGTTCATATTTTGTGTTGATTCTTTCAATGCAAAGAACAAGTCACATTATTGATAAGCCACTATTCAAAAATTGAATCTGATCCAAAAATTGAATCTGAATCCAAACTGTGTCCAATGTTTATTTAAAATGCAGAATGAAGATCCGTTTGATTTTAAATACATTCAGTATGGAACTTTACAAGATACAGCTTTTAATGCAATCACATTTTTTTATATGTCAACACTAACTTCGTATGCATCAGGATACCTCTGTTAATTCAAATTGCTTGAAAATTCAATTACATTTTCAATATTTTGAAATCTGAATTATTGAAAGTGTACTTTAATAAATTTAATTTGGTGAGCTTTAGTTTGAAATTGTTATCTGGCTTTTGTTTCCAAAAGCAAAGAGTAGATTAACAGTACAGCAGATACAATTTCCATAACAACCTTCAAAATTAAACCTCAGAATGATAAATGGAGTTCATAACAAAAGTTTGGGAGGGATGACAACAAGCAAGTTCAATCAGACTCAGTTGTCAGGAATTAGCAATCGCTACTGAAATCTATTCCTCTCCCAAAACTCTATAAATACCTATGAGATCCCTATCTCTCTCTCTTGCATGTCTCTTGCATCCCACCTCCACCCCCTCTCCACCTCTGCAGCTGCCCCTTGGTCACCCTGCATGGGGGTCCTGGTCTCCTTGTCCTATGGCCAGGAGGTCAGGCCTCAGCCAAGCGGGATAAGCCAAAATTTCACCCCATAATCCTTTCACGACGCTTTAATCTGGAATGTTGCTATTTCTTAGTGAAAACGTTTTATCAATGAAATTATTGTGACACTTCATATACCTAATTTGCAGACATTTTAGAAAATTACAAGTAACCATTGCCCACATGATGTAGATTAAATTGCGAGTAAATGATAATAAATAATCAGTAAATATTAGCTTACTCCGGCACAGTCTCTGGAATCCCCAAACACATGGAAAAGACACACATCTGGCAATTGTGTCAAAGTGGGGTTATGACAATTAACCAATTAAAAAGGCATTATTGTGAAAACAGGATATTGACCTCTGTAATATTATTATAGTCTGCTCAAATGAAACAGATGGTAGTAATGAGTTAGCCACAGAATCTTACACTCTTTAAAATACTACATGTGTTGGCCACTCATTTCACCTGGAATCTGAAAATACAAGCTTTAACATATAGCTTTAAAAACAATGCAAAATAAATACTGTATTAATGTTCCTAAGAATGTGATCAGACCGTTGTAAAATCACCCATACTCCTAAAAGGCAATGCTTCTGGGATCTATATGGTTTAATTTTAGTGATGATTAACTTCACCCATGGTATGTTAAGGAGAGCTTACGTATAGAGTACGTTTAAAAAATTACATGCAACAAAAGAAAATTTACAATATTATCTGAGCCATGAAAAACTAAACAAACACTTTGACAGCTGCAGAGCTTTATTCCAAAATTATTACCTTCAACCTTGTTTCTTTTCTTAAAGACAATATTAAACAAAACACACATTAAAAAAGATTAATTGGCATTGCCATCAATACAGAGGGAAAACATCAAAAGGCATTGATCTTGACAAGAATATGAATTTTTAAATCCTTCATTCCATTCAGTATAATACACAAAAGAGCTTCTGTTCGAGAAGAATATTTTAAGTGATTAAGAGCTTAAAAAGTAATCATGGTACAATCACTACAGCAAAGGTAGCTAATGATATAAATATTGTGCTTCCCTTTTTACTTATCTTTCTAAAGCTTTTTATTCTGTACGTCATATATTAATGTTGTATAGACTGTTGCATAATTAATTACTGTCGTTTTTAAATAGGTTTCAAAATTATTTCAAAAATGTTAATTAAGTGCATCAATCTGATGTATTATAATTATATTATAATTATTTTATCAGATTTTTTATTCCATGAAATATTGCCACTGGGTTCTATTTTAGGTCCAATTGTATTGACTGTATAAATAAGAACATTGGTCAGAGTATGAACAGTGCATAATTTGATTTTTATGCTGCTGATACTGTATTCTTTTCCTCTAACACGCCTTGAGAATTTCTTTTTGAAGTTTTACAAACAGCTTTTAATATTATTCTATATAAACTCTTTGAATTCAAGCTTTATTAAATTAAAAAAATGTCAATAATCAAGTCAAATTCTGAGAAATTTGAAAAATGATAGACTAAAACATTACCAGATCCATAGTTTCAGAATTCAGATAACATTTCAAGAAAATTAAAATTGGGTTTTGTGCAAAGGTAACAAACAAGGATATTAGACACTTCTACATGCAGAATGGAAATAAATAACAAATTCTAGATATCAAATACATTACTGTGAACTGTGCAAGAAAGTAAGGTGAATATTTCTTGCACTACCTACTGTAAACCGAACCTCGGGTATGCCTTTGTTTATAAAGTGGTTCTGGGAAAATGTCCAGTTTACCTTAGAACCATAGTTCTTATCAGTTAAGATCTTGATCAATATTATAGTTCACAGTTTTAAAGATTGTATGAATCAAAACAAAACATTGTTATTTTGCTCTCACGTCATTGAAAATGCCTCAGAAAGATTTAATGTTGTTTTACTTATCATTGTACCATTTTTAAGATAGGATATAGGTGATCTTTACATTTGATAAATATACTCGTTACTATTTTTAGAGTACTTTTTCTTGAAATAATTCTATCAATTATCAAATGTATCTACTGTAGTATTGTTCTTGTCCTAATGTTGGTAGAAATGATGTGACAAAGTGTTTCAAACAGGCCTCACTTGGAAATGAGATCTTGATGTCACTAGACTTCTAGTTTAGACAAGGATTTGAAATGGTCAGAAAAAACAACACACTTTTAACTAGCCATTTCTATCTTTCATTTTCCCATCTATAAAATTCAATTGCACCATCCCTTGGGAAATAATTTCACAACCTTTTATATTATTTATATCCATTTATTGTATTAATAAACCATTAATGTTTTATATTCTCATGCACTGATTTGTATCTGGGAATGTCTGTTCTCTTTTCAAGAAAAGCAGCTCTCAAACAGTTGCTTGCTGTTTTTCACATCAGTTACTGAGGGGGCCCGTAACTTTTTACTTTCATAAAAATTTCATTAAGTGAATATTTTGCCAAATAAAAGTGTAGCCCATCAAAAACCTGCAGCCTGGAATTATCCTGTCAGTGTAAATTCTGTAGGGCTACCCATTTCCTGATACATGGATTTCTTGACAGCCTAATTGCACAACTTTGTTTTTTTTACATTCGTTCAGAAATGGTGTTATTTAGCAGGTGTTCTTGTGGAAGACAAACTCTAATCTTGCACTTTCAATTTCCCATGTATAAAACACACCTGGCTTCACTGTTATAGTAGCTCTCTAGTTCATTTCTCTGAGTGAAGGGCGCTGTCGTTTCCTCAGCCAGACGATGTTAAAGCCAATGTATTAATATCCATTGCTTCATTTAGCCATTGTTAGAATTCAACAGAACACCCGAACAATGGATTTAAACCAGCTTATAATTTCTCATTTCTCCTCTCCTGTAGGTATGGTGGACTCCTCCATGATGCCTATAATGGGCTACCTGGTAGATCTCCGGCATGCTTCAGTCTATGGAACTGTCTACGCTATTGCAGATGTTGCTTTCTGCATGGGATTCGCTATCGGTGAGGAGGTCTTCATAGGTCAGCGATGTTGAAAAACCTGACCACGCTTTTAAAAACTGATTCCAAATGAAAATAGCAGAATGCTAATTCTAATCATAATCTTCCCATGAACATCATCAGGAGAAATGTACTTCTATCACGTGAACTGATATCATGTTTGACCGTTTGACCCTGAGTATCTTGGACATTTGATCTCTGGGGTTTAATGCCAGCTCTCTTTTTGTGGTCTCAGGCCCCTCCACAGCTGGAGCCATTGTGGAAGCTATCGGCTTCCACTACCTCATGGTCATCATTGGCATTATCAACATACTATACGCCCCTTTGTGCTGCTTTTTAAGAAATCCTGCAGCAAGAGAAGAGAAAATGGTGAGAGATTTTAGAATTCATTTTGTGCCCTTTCCCTAGGGTATGGGTTCTGCATTCTTACTTGATGGATTCTTACCTGTTATTTATGAGCCAGAACAAAACAGACTTTGATCCTGTTCAAAAGATGGCAGTGTAAAGCACTACTGGATCAGATTTAACGTTTCCCCAGAGGTGCAGGGGTGAGATACACCCTGTACAGGATGCCAGTCCATCGCAGGACATGTACAGACACAAACATGCACACACTCACACCAGGACCAATTTACCCACAAGCCACTTAGCCTGCTATACCAGGATGCCTTTGGACTGTGAGACTGTGTTGTGGCCCCAACATTGCCTCAAGCAACAATGGTACCTATACACCATACCTCAAATATACTCCAACAACAAAATAATAAAATTAAAAACATTTTGCCCTTTCCTAATTATTTCTCATTTGTTTGTCTAACGCCTTTAAACAAACCAGTCAACGTTTGTTCCCATTTATAGAACAGCTTATTTTACTAGAGCAATTCAGGTAATATACCTTGCTCAAGGATACAATAACTAATAATAATAATGATGTAACTAAGAATATAAGTTACATATTAGTTACATATAAAAAAATATTAGTGTTTTTGCATGTAACTAATAATATTAGTTACATGCAAAAAAACATGCTGTCCTGTAGTTGCCCCCTGCTAGATTTAAACTTTATATTTTCACAATATCTCCCAAGAAAACAAGAAACTCATGAGCAAAGTGTCTCACCCTGTCACATTTAAGTTATCATCCATTATGTACCACTCGCTGCCAGAGAACTAAACAGGAAAGGAAAAGTTAAGATTAATTTTCCTTCAAGTCACAAGGAGAATCTTTTAGGAAAAGGAGAATCATGTCCTGCTCTTCATCTCTGTGTCTTCTCTCCCAGGCCATAATAAACCAGGAGTGCCCCATGCACGTCAAAACCTACAGCACTCAGAAGGCGTACCGGGAGTTCCCACTGAGTGACGCTAGTGATGAGGAGGAGACTGAAGAGTGACCACATTCCCAGGGCACAGCCAGACACGCTGTCATGCAATCTGATATACAGTACTACACTTGAGCATAGGTGTACTGCACCCTCAAAACAACAACTCTTTGTGGTCTTGCACAGCAAAAACATTTTGTTTCACAAGAAAACAGACTTGAAAAAATTAAAAAAACAACCAAAGACTTGCCACTATAATGAATTTGTTCCACTGGATGTTGGATGCTGCTTTTCTTGTTTTCACAAACAAATCATCTTGCTTTCTCGTTTTATGTGGAAAGGTACAGTGATAAAAAGTGAGAGGCTAGCTAAAAAGCATACAATTCAGTTTTGCTCTAAAGGATTTTTTTGTTGTACTTCTGTTTTGTATTCAGAGGTAGATGAAAACAACTAGAAGTGAAACAAAACTGAAATGAAAATTAATTTTATTTCAATTTCTGGTCCTTAAGGACAACTTCTTATGTGGTTGGAAGACTTGCTATAACTACATTGCGTTTCAGAGGTGCCAGAGCCCAGCCTGACATACTGTAAAAGCACAAAGCTCAGAGAGCTCTTCAGGTGGGATTGAGAGTGTTTCCCAGGTCCTTTTAAGAATCAATACTGTAGTGTAGCTTGTCCTACAACATTTGTCTTTTTTTACATTGTTAGAATTTTTGCTACAAAAGATTATTTTTTCATAATTTGGTTTTAATTCTAAAATGTACAGATTAAAAACTTTCCCTCCCTTTGTCAATGCCTCTGGGGATTTTAATCCTTTTGGATTATGGATTGCCCACAACACTTTGTAGTTCAGTTTTTAGACCTAAATTCAAACCCCTGTGTCTGAAACAATAACTAAAAGATTATTCATAGGGCCAAATTTAATCAATAAAATTACATCTTCTCTTATTTTGAGATAATCTCTTATTCCTGTGCAGAAATACTCAAAAGTTACCACAGGACAGTTCTCAAGGACATCTCTTCAATCAGTAAAATCCAAATCTTTACTGTTCGATCTATATATTCCATATTATTACTACCTTAACTAGAAAAATGTTGTAGCCTTCTTCTACACAGCTCCTTTACGTCTTAGCTATTATAAAATCCAATATTCTTTCCTCAGTTTCTTTACTGTTTTAGTGTTTCTTTGTAGATATTACAATTTTATCTTCAGCTGGAGGGTCTATGTTTTTGCTGAGACTTTTAATTTCCTTTCTGCACTGGAGCTTGGTCATGTTTTTAAAGCACAACTTGGTACTTATTCAAGAGAGAGACAGATAGAGAGAGAAAGGGAGAAAATGGGAAAGATTTGCATCAGTGGTGTGTTGTTCTTCAATGCATCCAATTTCCAGGTCCCATAAATAACAAACAAGCATCTGGAACAGAGAGCTAGCCTCTGGAGCCTTCTGTAGACATCTTATTCAATTACCTTGGAAAAAGTCTTGCCTTAAGTAGCCTCTGTGGCTGACGGCTTACTGATTGTACAAGAATTGGTTACTGTGCTTTGCAAATAAAATGCTTATCAAACAAAAGCTAGATGCTGAATTAATATTAATAATTTAGGGTCCTAATATGCTCCTTTGACCTCCCAGAGTATGTATAGAATCTTCCAAAACAAAATAAATCCTTCTGGTTTACGACTGTTGCACAAATTACAGCCAGGAGAACAATTAAGAGCCAGACAAAGCTGTTTATGGTAAGGGGAAAGAAGGAAAATAAAGACGACACATATACGTTTACTTGACTGTTGTATGAGCAGGAGAAATATTTGTAGGATTTTGATTTTAAATTTCCTTGAATTGGCCCTCACTATTAGCCCTGGCTAGTGTGTCTCTTGTGTTTTCTGTGCAGCCTGAGTGCTTGATGTAAACCACCACTTTTTCCTGCTCTTGATAGTCTTGAATATTTTACTAGGAGGGTTTTACAAAACACACAAAAATGAAATTCACTGTGATTATGAAAATAATCAATTTTTCCTTACTGTGTTTGTTGTTTGGACTTTTCCATGTATTTAAGTTTCTATACAATAGTTCTACAGTACATATACTTATGCATCTAGGTGGAAAACACCTCAGCCTATTTGAGTAGAATGTGTGAGTGCATTAAACGTGTTCAGTTTCAAATACCATTTCTCCAATGTCAGCTTCAAAGAATGGATGCTGAGTCAGAATGTGAAGTTTGATAGTTTTCCCGTGAAGACATCAAATGAACTGGATTTTAATCCAGTTTTTCATTGCCTGTACTCCCCTCCAACCCATATGGTGTATGAAAACTGTGTCAGCAGTGACTGGGCATTTTGTTTTAGTTACTTGGTATATTACTTGGTATACGGAAGATTAAGAAAAAA